CGTTTTTGCGCGTCGTCGTCGTCGTCGTCGTCCGTCGTCGTCGTCGTCGTCGTCGTCGCCGCCGCCGGGCGTTTATCTACCGATTCACCACTTTGCATCCTCGACACGACAGTCGAGTGAGTCGCGCGGGCGCTGCGCCGTCCATCATTGTCACGGCGGCGCGATTGTGACGCAATAAAAATTGCGTATTCCGCGTGAACAACACGCACGCGGAAACCTGTTTTCCTCGCTCCACGTGGCTGGCTGGCCGGCCGACCGGCCGGCTCGCCGAGGAAACGCCGCCGACGGTCTCGGGCGGGTCTCGAAAGAGATCAATGTACAGTCCGCGCGCGCGGCCGACCTCGGCGCGCTCCTCCCCGTCGCCCGGCGAGCTGGGGGTGACGGGGAGGCGAGGCAGGTGTGGGTCAAGGTTGTTAAAACGCGAGGGACTCTAATCCGACGTTGCTGCTTCTTCTTCTTCTACACGAGCTACCGCCATGTGCGTGCGTGCGTACGTGCGAGTCCGCCCGCCCGCCCGCTCGTCCGCGGTAACAATGTACACACGTTGCTCTAGCAACAAGTGTTTGTGTCGTCGTTTACACAGCGCTGGCTACGAGGGGGAGGGGAGGGGAGGGAGGGATGGAGATAGCGAGCTCAAGGGTTGCCGAGCGCGAAACTCTCTTCGTCTCGCTCGTCATCCTGCGAGATTCGCGGCCTCTTCTGCGCTTCGCCTATTATTATTTTTGCCGTTAAGGACTTTTCACGATCTGAGGACAGACCTCGCCTGCTTCGCGGAGATCCTGGACTAGGTTCGACTCGGGGGATCTTCGGCTTAATTTCGGAGAATGGGGGGAGATCGAGAGTACCGATTCGTCGCGCGAATCGTCAGTCGCGATTGCGGATTTTTTCGCGTATTATTTTTATTTTATGCACGCTTGAATGTTCAACGGCTGAAAACTAGACTTCAGTCGGGTCCGAACGGAGAGATCTCGGTGTGTTTACTTTGAGCTTCCGATTAAATCGACTCGTTAGTCTACGAATTTATCACGAGCCGCAACCTCGCGTACGATTTCGCGCGCGTTTATGATCGCGTCGTCGGTTTGAATCTTCAGCGAGCGAGATGTAAACTTCGGTTCAACACTCGAGCGAAGATCCTGACGTCAGTTTTATCTTCGATCGAAACGACCACGGAGGAATCTTCAAGTCGCGCGAATCACCCGGTGAATTCGCCGTCAGCCACGTCGGAAACGTCGCGATCTCCTGCGCTTTGCATACATTATTTCCAACGCTTGGAATTCCTCGGCAACTCGGACTCGGCAGAATTCTCAGGCTGCGATTTTACCCTAGACTCCGTCCTCCGGATGGAGGCGATTGAAGGTGAACTGAAACGCCCGCGAGTCCCGTCGCGAATACCTACGGGCCGTTGACACTTCCTCCTAATTACGCGCGAGACGTACGCGGCGGCGAGAACACGAAAACTCGTCTCCGGCCGAGGGTCTCTCTCTTCGCGCTCTCGCCGGACCCGGGGGGGGGGGAGGGGAACCGTCGCGGTGAATTAGTCGCAGTCCAGGAACGTCTCGATTAATCCTCGCCAGCGCGTCGCGGATCCTTCCGACGAGAAGAAGATCCTTCCGCGAGGGAGAAGCGCGCCCGTCAAAACCGACATTTCACTGCGCGCCGCCGCCGTCGCCGCCGCCGCTCCGTCGCTCTCCTGCGTCCTTGGTCCTCCCGCGAACAAGAAGCCCCCACTTGGCCGGCGAGCTTCACCGAGCGAAAGCTCGCGACGAGCGCGCTCGAGTCGCGAGCTTCTCTCCCGCACGACCTTGTGTCACAGGTCGCCGTTGTTGCGCGACGACTCCTGCTGCTTCCTCACCGTGCCAGCCGTTCATCGCGATCGCCCCGATGAGCTTTCGACGATTCCGTTCTCCGAGAAACGAGACGGCTCCCCGCTCGGCTCGCGTGTGATCGCGCGCGTGTAAACCCGCGGGACGTGCTCGACGCCGCGGCTTCCTCGCGCGGACACCGCTCGTGCTCAACTGGATCACCGCCCGCGCGGGCTAGACGGGGCCTCCGGCGGCGGCAGCTCGCTCGCGCTCGCGCTCGAGCTTGCGCGGGCTTGCACGCGTTGCGTATGAAACTCACGGCGCGTCGGTTAATATGTGCGTACCTCGCCGATGTGCGCGGCGCGGCCTCTCGTCGGCGAGAGGCCGCGTTATCCTGAGCGATCGCTACGTCGAAGCGCCTCTTCGTCTTTCGCTCGGCAAGGGCAGCAAGAGGGAAGATGTCATCGGCTGACACGTTACTTCCCCGGTCATGGGAATGTCAGCGGAATCGGAATAGCACATTTGCGCTTAGCGATCTTTAAACCGGACACAAACGCGCTCGACAACTCGCTCTCTTTACCTGTCGAGCAACCGCTCGATAAGCACGTGAATGCGCAGCAAGAAAGACCGCGAACCGACGTCGAGTATTCAAACACACACAGAGAGAGAGAAAGAGAGAAAGAGAGAGCGCGAGGGAACCAAGCTCTGAGGGAGAGAAAGAGGGAGGAAGATGAGGCGCACTGAGAAGCGAGATGTGCGACTTGCGACTGAGCCAAAGTGTGATTGATGTCCTAACATCGCGCGCGCCAGAACGTCTCGCTTCCTTCCCCGAGAGAAAAGGACGCGAGAAGTTGACTGCAAGAGAGCTTTCGACTTGACTGGCTGGCGAGGAACCGCCGCCGTCAACAAACTAGATCTCGCGTGACTTCGCTGGTAAAAAGGGAGCTCACCTATCGACGCGCGCCACGGTAAAGCAGATGGTCTAGTTGACTCGTAGTCGGAAAACGCGGCATCTCTCTCTCTTATCGACGCTCCTGCGCCGCCCTCATCCCGCCCCGTCCCTCTTTAGAGTCATCGCGACAAATTGAGTCGCGAATTAGTGCAAACCTTGTTTACAAGACGCCGCGACTTTTTATCGTCGAGTATCCCACGAGTGTAACCAGCCCCTTCCACCCCTGCGCTGTCACTCACGCGGAGACTGCGACGGAGAAAAAGGATGCACCCCCGACCTTGTAGCCGGTAAACTTTCCTCCTCGTGTGACCCATATTCGCGCAAGTAGTCGCCGCGGGATCGATCGATTGCGATTACGATGTGCACGTCTCGCTTCTTCGCGAGGAAGCGCGCGCACGCTTCCGCAACGCGTCATCAATCGTCGCGTATCCGTCAGCAATGACGAAAATGACAGAGAGAGAGAGAGAGAAAGAGCGGGAAGCGGCTAGACCGCGTGTCCGGCGAACGTGACTTACCGGTCCGCGGCAACGGAGAGCGCGCGCGCGCGCATTTCAACTAGGAATGAGCGATTTTCATCGATCGATCGAAAGGACCGACAGTTTGTTTCCAATTGATCGATGTTTTCAGATGATTTTATTTTTACTCAATAAATCGTCGACGTTTCATGATTTTTTCTCAACATCGGCAACCAATTCTTATTTTTTTTTTTTAAACAGAGGATTTTTGTGATATCGATACTTTCAGATACGGTTCCGAACGCACCTATCTAGCAATGTTTAATCTGGTGCTAACCAATTTAAATGTTTACATTATAAATTTAATCAATTAATCGATAAATCGATTTTTTTTTTTTTTAAGGAAATGATCGATGTTACTTCAATTTTTTTTATTTATCTATATTTTAAACATCGATATACTTTCGAACATTGTTCATCCCTAATTTCGCACGCGCGCCCGCTTCGTCCGTCCAATTCTGCAATATCCACTTCCGCTCGCGCGACGCGCAAACGCTTAAACCCTTTGCGGCCCTATACGGCCTCCGGTCCCTCTTCTGCGCACCGACCTTTCGCCCATTGCACTCGGCATGAATACGTAATGCGTTAATATGTCAGGGCATTAGCGAAATGTCGAGGTAAACAACGACCGCGCGCGACCCTGTTTCGTTGTTGTGTTCTCGTGGGTGCGCTCGGGGAAACGTTATTATAGCATTACTTAACGCTTAGCAGACTATTCGCGGATTTAGATACGCCGGCGCTAACAAACGTGCTACCGTGATGTCGTTAATAATAACGTCGTAATTAGGCGTTATTCTTCCCGACTTGGTGCATCGATTGAGCGCGTTAACGTTCATGAGCTCCGTGAAAACGGCCAAACGCCGTCAACTGTACGTGATTGTCAAACGGTACATCGTATTTATTTTTAGCATTATTCATGCATGTGTGATGATGAACAATGCACTGAAATAAATCTTAGGAATATTTACGCTGAAGAGGTGTTTAACCTTTAAAAGCTACCAACAGAGAAAATCACGTTAATGCTGTTATGGATAAAATTTCATCCCAGCGTATATCCTTTTCATTTTCGAGATAAATGTCAAGCAAACGCAATTAAATGTTTAATGATTATTGAATATTGGATGAACAGTAGAGAGAAGTTGCATATAAGTTTGCATAATGCGCGTTTGGATAATTTAACATTTAATAAGAACGAAGGAAAATTCGCGTAGGGTGAGATTTCACCCCGGTATTTATTTTTCATTTTAGAAATAAGCCGAACAAACGCAATTAAATGTTCAATTATTATTGAATAGTGGACGAAAAGTAGAGGAGTTACCGTTTGCAGCGGATAATTTAACATTTAATAAGAACGAAGCAAAGTTCACATGGGGTGAGAGATTTTGCCCGTGGGTAGCCTTTAAGCCGCGGATTGAGCCGCGGAAACGTTATAAACATAGTAACGCTGACGTGTTACGCTATTGTCGATAGCGTCTCCCAGACGCATCCCACATATTCTGACTAGCCGAGGGAAAGGAACGGAGTGCAAAGGGTTGATTCGGCATACGTGCAGATCCTACAGATCCTTTCGACGCACATCTGACTCCTGTCAGTCGATCGTCGGACAGTCATTTGCTTTGAGAGAAATAAAAATGAAAAGAGCGACGAGCCGCCGACGACGACTGAGTTTTGCCAGGGGGCGGCGAAAGGGGTAGCTCTACGCTCGTCAAGTTTCAGCCAAGGTCGACTTACACCGCGTGCATCCCTGAAGAGTATGGCAGCGTGAACTGGATCCAGGCAAGCGTCCGACGCTCGGTGAGGTATCGCGGGTGCTCCGAGGGATAATCTTCGAGCCGTGGGATCCAACGAACTCCTCCTGATTGCACCTGAAATGCAAGCGCGAATTAACGTATACGCGCGTGTCGCGAGGTGCCATTGGCGCACCAAATGGGCCAGAGACGCCTGTTTCGAGCACTTGGCGAGTCTGTAAACCCGCGAATCCATCGCGGACCCATCGGAAGCGTCAGGTTTGCTCAACCTGCACACCCTGCCTGAATCCTGTAGGCGGAAGCAAAATAGTCGGTTTGCTTGGATGAGCCGATTCTCCGGTGAAACGTGAACCATTGAGAAATTTCGACGGGAAACACTGGAGAATAATTCTCTTTAGATCAACCCAGAAGTAGCTCGATATCCTGGGCCGAATTCAACCGGAAATTTCTGAATCGTCCATATTTCGTCCAAAAAGAGGAAAGAAAAAGAAAAAAACTGTTTCGCTCAACCGACACTTTTCTTCAACCATACATACTCGGTTACAATAATATACATATTTATATACTCTTTGAAATATTTTTTCATATATTTCTAAATAGAAGCTCTAATTACGCTCTTCTCGTGATAGAAAAAGTTGTATAACATTCTCGAGAAGGGAATGAAAAAAAAAAAAAATTCCTTCCTTTGGCCATACGCTAACGATTTTTCCGGAAATTCACGACGAGCATATTTCGAGACAACGCGAGAGCAAGAAAATATTTCTTGCCGAAGCATGACTCAGAGGGGAGAAAGCAAACTGCAGTCGCTCAGCGGCAGAGTCTTTTTCTCCGCGCAACACGGACAGAGTTGCTTCGACGGAACAAAGACCGCCTCCTCGTCGCCGGGCTTTTTCACGTCTCTCCTTCGAAACGTGAGCCACACGGACGGATGGGGGAAAGGGGAGGGAGGGGGCTAGAGGAGAGAGAGAGAGGGGGGGGAGGGATCGAGCCGGCCGATCGATGCATCACGTGTATCCTGTTATCGTCAATCCTGTTACGGCGGCTGCAATTAATCCAATTGCCGTACGTTTTAATAGCCGCGCAACATTAGACAGGCCGTGCGCGCGCGAGCAGGCGGCCGGCCGGCCGGCCGCCGCGCGGAATTTGTCATCGCGCGAATTACGTAAAACGTGACTGGTTATTTACATTTCAGAGCTGTATGCACACGTGGAAATGCGATCAGGGCTATGTGGCGGCGGCTCGTCTGACTCATCGCTCGCGCCGCGGACGTGTCCTCGCTGGAAGAAAGAAAGAACCGCCGCCTTTGGAATCCAACGAAACCATCAAAATTTCTCGCTCCCCGAGCGCGTCGTGGCAATTAAAAGCGGCCGACCCGGCCGCAGTCTCTTTCTCTCCGGCGGATGATTACGCGCGTCAGAGGTGTTTTATGGGCGATACATTCAAGGCGATATAAAAACTCTCACGCAATTATCGCATCCCGTCCGCTTTTTACCTCGCTTTTTCTCGCGCAACGTTTTACATAAGGAACCGTCAACGACAGTCGCGTAACGCGCGAATGGGAGCGTACGAGAGAGATGACTGCGGAGGTTCTTTTCCTTTTTTTTTTCTTTTAATATACAAATCCGCGTGGGAGGGAGAGAAAAAGAGAGGAGTTTAGGAAATTTCAGCGCAACGCGCCAGTTCGACTGGAAAGAGCAAACTTCGATCGGCCGATCGGCCGAGGCGATGCGCACTCGAATTTCTTTCCCACGAGCGAGAACGCTCGCCATCCATCCATCCATCCATCCATCCGTCCGCCCGCCCGCCCGCCCTTCCGCCCGTCGATCAACAGTCATTAAATCCGTACGCATCGCATGTTCGCTCTCAATAAACACAACGAAGGAGCCCCGCGCGTTCGTTTCCCACCCTCTCTCTCTCTCTCTCTCTCCTCTCTCTCTCTCTCTCTCTCTCTCTCTCTCTCCTTTTCCCCCCCGTCGAGAAACGTAGCAGAAACGCAAGCTCGACCGTTGCGGTCCGCTGCCCCCTCCCCCCCCGCTCTGCCCCGAAAGCGCGCCCTGATCCGTTGGAATTTGTTTTTCTCCCGGCGAAGGTCGCGCGCGCACGTTCCTACGATTAAATCCGCTTCCTCAGCGCTCAGACGCTCGCGAGCGATAGCCCGGGCTTTATCGGAGCGGTGTTTGTTTCGCGAGTGCATTTCGCGCGATACCGCCGCCGCCGCCGTCGTCGCCTCCTCCTCGTCGTCGGCGGCGGCGGCGGGACGCGGATGTTAGCCACAAATTGTTCGGAGTCTGCAAATTGTTCGGATCGCCGCGCGCGCGCGCGATAACGCACCCGAAAAAAAAGCATTCTATTTGCAAAATGATTTTTCCCATAATCTCCTATTCTAAGCGAAACATTTTATAGAAAAAGAATTTCTCTTTCCATAAAGCGATTAAAGAGTGAAGCATTCATCTAAAATTGATTAGATATTATTCTGTCTTCCTCTCATTTCAAGAAGATTCCCTCTTATATCAATTAATTTTCCTCTTACATGAAGAGGAATTCTAAAATCACTTCTTTTTGGGTCTCTTTTGACGCAAGCTGAGAAACTTTTCGTCGTCCACTGTTCGCGCGACCCTCTGACGCGGGAGGTCCGTGTATCGCAACTTTCCCTGTCGCGGCGGGACAGCGAAAGTGCGCATGGGAAAGGCGCGTTCTGAGTAATCCCCGTCGGCCGATCACTCGATACCTTCGTCAAACGATGAGACGTCGAGCGAGACGCGAACGAAGGCGGAATCGATTTTGCGCGCTTTCGACCAAACGTGACGCGACGACGGACGGACGAGTCACGTACCGACCGCGGCATTCGTAATACGCGACACGGTAATGACTACGTGTGCTGGCCGGGTCAAGGCGAGCCTCCGTGAGGCTTGTATCGATATATCACTAATCAGCGAGCTTTATGAAGCCCGAGCTTGCGGCATAGCGCAATTCGCGGCCGAGCCGAAGATGGAACCGTTCCAAAGATCGCGAACGAGCCGTCGCCACGAGATGAGGGACGGGACACGATTCGAGATTGACGATATAGCGCGACGACGATTGGGGCGGGCGGGGGAGAGAGGGATACCTTTTTTTATATACAAATATGCGCATACGCATGTTTCTACATTTGCATGTAAATGTATGCACATACGTGTTTCTGTCCGATCGCAGCGGAGTATCTATAAAACCCGAGAGTCCACGTAAGATCTATAAATTCTCCAATTACGACCTTTGCCGAGGAAAAAGTGAGCGACTGATAGCAATAGGATCGCATATATCTCTCCGTTAACGAATAATTGCTTTATTATATGCGCATTTTTAATATTCCGCATCACTTGAGTATATACACGCAGTCTCCGCTCACGTCGCGTCACGATGGAAAATTGCCGCCTCTGTATATACACGTAACACATATACGTGACGAAACAATGTAGTTGTAGTTGCCAATGAATTCAGCGACAAGCGAGAGAAATTTTCGCGCGCGTCTGTAACCTGTACGAAAACACATTGCGTAACCGAGTGCGCCCGAGAAAACAAAATATGGCATACTTGGCCAAATGAGAAGGAGAAAAAAGGAGGAAAAGAAAGGAAGATAAAAAAGAAGATACAGAGGAAGGTAGAGAAAAAGAGAGAGAGAGAGAGAGAGAGAGAGAGAGAGAGAGAGAGAGAGAGAGAGAGAGAGAGAGAGAGAGAGAGAGAGAGAGAGAGCGCACTAACGAAATGTGACCAAGAAATCAAAATGATATACTTGGTTAAAGAAAGCAAAGAGAAATAGAAAAACGGAATAGAAAAAGAAAAGGGGAGGGGGAGGGGAGCGTTAACGAGGTGCGGCCAAAAAATCTAAACGACATACTTGGCCAAAAGAGGCAGAGAGAAAGAGAAAAAGAAAGAGAGGGAAGGAGAGCGCACTATTATTGAGAGACGTATCGGCTGAAGCGGCCGAAAGTTAATTAACACACAGAGTCCAAAATCATGGATGCAGAGATGTGGATGGAGAGCTGAAACACAACCAGTTCCTCATATCGTAGATTCACATTTAATGTTTACAGTACGTGTATAAATATAAACATTGGCGTGTCGGCAGAGGGATATCCGAAAGCAATCAAGTTAAGGGCGCAGCCTTTAGAGAATCCAGAAGAGAATCATCCGCATCGTTTAATATAACCCCGTCGTACACATCCGTGAGAAACATATGTCGCTACCGAGCGCGCGACAGGTGCCCTCGCTGGCGTTCGTCGAGAAACCCACGCACGCCCCTCGTCGTTACCTTGCCTGAGTATGCTCTCGTAAATCCTGTAGGTGGTCTCGCAGTCGGCCTCCTGCAGATCCGCAGGGGGTCTGGCGCTGCCGTCGAGGCTCTGGCTGCGATTCCTAAAGTCCTCCTCGCGCTTCTTCGGGCTCTCCTGGCACTCGCTCTGCCGTCTGATATGTCCCAACCTCCTGCCGAAGTGCCGTATCATCTCCTGTATGCTGTGATGATGATGATGATGATGATGATGGTGTTGGTGCTGCTTCTCGTGCTCGTTGGTCGGGCTGGACGACGTTGGTGACGCTTTGCCGCTGCTGTTGCTCAGCGCCTGATGATGCTGCAGCTGCTGGTGATGATGATGGTGCAGGGGCGCGTGATGATGATGATGGCCGTTACCGTGGATCGTGTGGTACACGGAGTGGTAAGCGCCGTGGTTCGACGAGTTGGAGCCGTGCGACGAGCCGTACGACGACGAGCCGTAGGAGTAGGCCGAGCTGACCGAGCCGCGAGATACGTGCCGCTCGTGTAGGTAGAGCTTGCCGTCGTGCTTTTGACTCAGCAGCTCCTGCAGTATCCGGGTGTCGTGGCTGCGAGTGTCGTGGTTGCGGGTGTCCGACGACGCAGAGGAGATGGAGCTCCTGGTGTCGGCGTTATCGGACCCATGGTGAGACAGCAGGTGGCTTATCCCGTGCATCTCGCAGCGACTTGCGTTCTGGCGACTCCTACGGCGAGCACGACGCTATGGTTGCGGAAGCACCCGGTCAGTTGTGGACTGCTCATCGACGTCGCGCTACCTGCAACGAACGCTGTCGAGTAATTTCGCACTGAGAAGGGAAAAGTGACCACCGTTGGTTACCGAGAGAGAGAGAGGGAGAGGGAGAGAGAGGGAGAGAGAGAGAGAGAAAAAAAGAGACACGCGAAAGCAACAGCATCATCGCGCTTTGCCCATTGATCGTCCGATTTCTCCCGCAGTGATTGCATCGAAAAGGATCTCCGAAACATCCGATTGTTGACTCGAAATATCCGACTTATGAATTTTAACAGAATTCGGATATATTCGGGAGATTTTTCTCAGTGTGGCCGCCCAACGATCTTCTCGCCGCTTGGCGTGTCGAGCGAGTCAGCGCGACATTGGACTCTTCAAGTTCGCGCGAGGTCTTTGAAGAGAACGCAGTGAACTTGTTGAACTAATAAATATCATAGATTAATATTAAAGCATTAAGAAACAATATCTATGATTGGAGTCAGAAACGATCGACAAAACTGCCATCTCTTGCAAAACTCTCACACACACACACACACACAATCAAGCCCAAGACGCTCCCAATAGATAGTTAACAAATTTCTTGCAGCCTTGATCTTTACCGGCGTTATTGGCGAGCCTTCTCGTTTTATACGAAAACATCCGAAGCGAGGACAGCCTCTTTTCGTGAAAATGTGAGATCGCTGTACCGGAAATGCCTCACATTTTCGGTCAACGGATTTGCAATCGGGTGTGACCAACACTACATGAAATGACACAATGCGAGAAGCGAGTAAATTCCGCCGAAAACCGCAACAGACCCCCGAATCGCGAGTTCTCGTTTCATCTTCGCTCAGTCACCGACATGAGGCCTCTCGTCTCCCCTGTGGAGAGTCCTTTCCTCCGTCACGAGCTTCGTCGCCACAGGAAAAGAGCGCTCGGTGTCGACCGCGCGAGCCGAGTCGTCGGAGACTCGGCGAAGGAGATTCCCGGCGACGCACTGCGCGATCGGGCGGAAAATCCGACGGGGGGAGGAGGATACGAGTGTGTCCACTTGGGCCAAATGCTGGGCGAATTAAACTTTGGCACATACGCGCGCGCGTAGCTCGCGATCGAACCTTTTAATAAACTGCGGGGCGCGCGCGCGCGCCCGCCCGAGTTTCCCGCGACGAGCGCTTTTTAACGAACGAAACCGCGACTATTTCCAGACGCTCGATTGAAACGTCGAACGCGGCAAAAATAAATCAAAGCGCCACGCGACACGATTTTCACCGGACGGATTTTCCGAAAGCGAGCTGCTCTATCTCTGTCTCTCTCTCTCCTTCTTTCTCGCTCGGTCGCTCGCTCCCACAAGCCGCGATAAACGAGATACCGCGCGCGCGTCGCAAAAGTGACAGCACGATGATCCTTACGTAACAAGAGCGAGGGGGAGGCAAGCGGAGGGGGAGGGAGAGGGGAGGGGGAAAAATGGGGAATAATCGCTTGGGTTTTTCTTCGGGAGGCACGCGCGCGCGCGTTTTTTCGTCCACGCGCGGGACGCGACGGGCGTCTCGTGCGCCCGCCGCGCGAGGGGGGAGATAGATAATGAGAACTCAGTAGGAAGCGTTTATCACGCGAGACTTATTGCGTGATTAGCGGAAACGGTCGGTGTCCGCCGATTATTCAACGAGCGAGGTCGACTCTTTTACCGTTCGCTACCGACGACGCACGGCCGGCGCTACTAACATTAAGCGTCTCCCCGTTATACACCCGCTTTCTGCCGTCGTGGCGAGTTTTCCTTCCGTCTCCCTCCCGCTCCCTCCTTCTTCCTCTCTCCTCGTCGCGGCTCGATGCTGCCCAATATCAGCGGCAATTAATCGAGATCTCGCGTCTTTGTCGTCCCCGATGCGATGCTCTCGCCGTGACGCGCGACCCTGCTGGCGCGTCGGTCTCGCTTTCCGTGCTCGCTTGTATCCCCCGGTGATGTCCCGATTTCTACATTCGCGTCGTCGCCGAAACGGCGAATTTCGAGGTCGAGGGTGAGGAAACTGGGTCGTATCGATCGCGGGGACCCGAGCCCTCCGTGGCGGTCGAGGAGCGAACGCTCCAAGAGATTGGTTAGCACGGCTTCAAGCGGCGATTCGCCACTGAAAATGATAGCCCGCTGCGAGAGAGAGAGAGAGAGAGAGAGAGAGAGAGAGAGAGAGAGAGAAAGAGGGAGATAGAAAGACCGCGAGTGGAAAGTGACGGGTCAATAAAACGGGGAAAGAGCAAAGTGAGCAGGAAAAAATGGCAAGAAAAATAGAAACAAAGGAGCGCGCGAGAGAGAGGGAGAACATCAACGTCGTCGTCGTCGTCGTCGTCGTCGTCGTCATCGCTGCTGCTGCCTTCGCAGCGGATTTGTCTCGACGAGAGGCGGACACGTGGCGGAACGGACAAAAAGGGGATCATGCGAGCGCGCTGCGCAAGCAACAACGGAGCTGCTCGAGCACGAGTCGAGGATTTATCTCGCTTATCCGGCCGATCGAGAGCGTATCGATATTCGCGCGTCGCCGCGCGATAAGAACAAAGACGCGGCGGATTTGGTCGCCGAGGAGAGACTCGCCCTCCCTCTCCCTCTCTCCCTCTCTCTTTCTCTCTGGACGGAGAGCGCGAAGTAAAATCGAGATTCGCGAGAGCGCCATCGGCAATCACGCGCGACAGCACATATATTATCGCTCAGCGTCGCGGAGTCTCCCCGCCCCCCCCGCTCTTAGCCAACCGCGATAGCGGGACTTATCGTAGAGTCGAAGGAAAGAAGCGAGGAAAACAAGAGGAGAAGCCGGCGCGCGTCTCCCCGGGCGAACGACATGGAGAAAAAACGGCAGGCTGATGAGAAAAGTTTCTCCTCGTCGCCGCGCGACCGGCTCCGTTTTTATAATCCATCCGGCCGAGTCCGGCTTGCGAACCCGCTCGGAAATAATCTCCGACGAAAGCGTACATTGTTTATATGCAAATGCGCCCGATAGAGAGAGAGAGAGAGAGAGAGAGAGAGAGAGAGAGAGAGAGAGAGAGAGAGAGAGAGAGAGAGAGAGAGAGAGAAACAGACAGACAGAGAAGGAGGGAGTAGGAACGCGACTTCTCTGGCTGCGCACGCGATAAAACGACGGAGACACTAAAAGTGTGATCCGAATATTTCTCTCGGTTTCGCCCCCCTCCGCCCTCTTCATTTGAAAGTCCATGTATCGTAATGCCATGCACGCGCCACGCACCTCGTTGTTAGCCACTCGCGACCTTGAAGACTGCGCACGAATCAGCGCGCGCGCGCGCGCGCGCTCGACGTATCTGGATTCCTCCGCAGCGAGAGAAGCTGCTAATTCAATTAGTGCAGCAAGTAATCAACGAATAACCTCTCGCTTTTCGCTCGTTCCGGGATGCGACGCAATTCGCCGGCGCGAGCGAGCGAGAGAGCGCGATCGTAATCGGACGGGAATCTATTCCTATTGAAGATCGCGCGACACGGACGGCGCAGAGGGGGAGGGAGGCATGTATCTCGAGTACCTTCCGATTGACGGACGTTAGTGCCGGCTCGTCGCCGCGTTATCGCCGGAAAAAAAAAAAAAAGACACACGCGAGAAATTGAATGTCGAAAGTGCTGGAAAGGAGATAAAAAGTCGAGCAGGACGAGCTTACGGCAATTTTTCGCCGCGGATTCGCAAACAATCTGCGAGGATCCGCCGGCCGGCCGCCGGTCAAAACAATTCTCATCACACTCGGAGCGGTCGGCATTGCGGCCGACTTCCCTCGGCGAGTCGCGACGGAGGAGAAAAAGAGGAAGAAGAGAAAAAAGGAAAGGAATCGCCGCGCGGTCGCACAATCGGTCCCCTCTCGCGATCTTGCGCAACGAAATTCCTGCATTGCGTAAGAAAAGCGAGCGGGTCTGTGTTACTTATTTGCATAAATCCTTTTTGCGCGAGGTGTACCCTCGAAGGATCGCGAGCGTGCGGAAACTCGCCGACCACGGCGCTGTTTTATCGGTTAATCTCTCTCTCTCTCTCTCTCTCTCTCTCTCTCTCTCTCTCTCTCTCTCTCTCTCTCTCTCTCTCTCGCGTTAAATTTATACCAACGCACCGCGATATTTACTTAGCGGACCTTTCAACCTATCGTTTGACTGCTCCGGCCCGCGAATGCCGTTGGGTCGCATTCTGGATTTGCGCGCTCGCACGCGACGGAAACGGACAGAATTGTCGCGACGGAGTCGCCAAGAGGAAGACAACGGCGATGACGATGACGGAATCCCATCGCGTTCGCGCTCGCGACGGCTTCCCGCATGTAGCGCGTTTCCGGTGCCAAATATCGACCGACAAACGATCGACGCGGGCGCGCGCGAATCCACCTCAGGACCGGTTCCGTCAAGGTCAACGAAAGCCCTTCGCCGGCCGCCCGCTGCTTCTCCGAAACGCGGCGCGCTGTAAAAACGCACGGAACAAGGAAGACCCTCTCCGGTTTTCGAGACCGCGCCGCCGCCGCGGCCGGAGCAGCGGGCGGCGGCGGGGGCGGAGGCGCGGGCGAGGGTCTAAATTACGCGTCGGTGATTGGGGAAGAAGCGGGCGCGCGCGGCGTTCGTCAATGACGAGGCCTCGGCAACGACGTAGTTGCGCGTAACGAGCGAGAGCGCGAATCCCGCTCACGCTCGCGCACGGCCGCCCGTCAGCTCTCACTCGATCCTCCTCCTCTTCCTCCTCCTCCTCTCACTCACTCGCACACGTCGGCGATCGAAAAGTCTCTTCCCTTTTCGGCCGACGTTTGTCAACACGCTCTCGCATTCGCCGCGCGCGCGCGCGCGCGCGCACGGTTCGGTTACGTAATGGCGCGCGCGAGAGGTTCGAGGAAATGCCGAATATGTGCCGAGATCGCGCGCTGCCAGCCTTGTTTTCACATTACCCTCGCTGGACTTTAAGCCTTCGCCTCCGGCAAGTAGATAACGCGGCGACCGCTCTCCAGCCGACGGAGAAAAAGCTCGATAAGACGCGCGTAACGATGCAGCGCGCGCGAGACGAGCGCGAGACGACGCGAATCTTATCTGTGTTGCTCTTTGCGGGTCGCGTCTCTTTCTTTCTCTCTCTCTCTCTCTCTTTCTCCCTCGCTCCCTCTCTCTCCCTCTCGCCCTCGACACGAACGACGCTCGCGCGAGATAGATACGCGCGGCCGACGGCGCGCGTGGTCGTCCTGGCGTAATCATCTTACTAAATGTACTTACCGGATTCTGCGGACACGATGATGTGCCCACGACGATCCTTTCTTGCTCTTCCTCTTTCACGAGAGTCCTCTTGCCCAGCGATCACACGCGTCACGTGTTCACGGGAGTTGCAGCGGAGCGGAGAAAGAAGCGGCGCGTTACGCTCCGCGCTTCTCGCGCCGATTCATTGGCAATCTCTCTTTCTCTGCCAGTTTCTCCCGCGTCCTTCGCGCACTGACTGACGACGACGGAGCACACACACTCACTCGCGCACAGCATCAACTGTCGTCGACGGCACGTAAGCTACGGTCGACCGCAGCGTAAAGCAGCGATGTTTACGAATGCGGACGGACGGACTGTCGTCCCGGCCGCGTCGCGTCAACACGCTCGCGCGGCGCCCACCTTTCGCCCGCGCGTCTGCCGGCGGCGGCGACGGCGACGGCGGCGGCGGCGGCGGGGCGGCGAGAAAAAAGACAGACGCGTGAGCGAGCAAATGCGCGCGACACGGCGGATCGCCTCGCCGGCGTGAGAACTCGACCTTCGAGCCGAAGCCGTTGGTCTCGTCGCAGCGCGCGCTGCGGTATCACGAGCCGGCGGCGAGCGCCGACCGATTTCGAGTCTCGCGGGCATCGATCGTCACACGGCCGCCGTTGAAACGTGCACTGCCGCACGTCGCGCCGCGACGCGACGCGCCAGGCGGCTGCGAGAGCGCGGCGCGCGCGCGTTCGAATCGGCCCCGAGCGCGGCACGCTGCCGCCATCTGTCGCCGCCGCGGCGGAAGCTTCGCCGCGGCGAGAGCGGTTCACCGTCGGGCTCTCGTCAGGTGGCGCCGTGGGATCGCGGTCTCGTTCCGGCGCCTCCGCCGAAATTCGACGAGCAGCCCCGCTGCGCGTTGAGCTCGGATAAAAACGCGAGTGATTCGATCTTGTCGAGGCTAAATTCGCCGCGACTTTCACGCTGGAAGATTGTGCGCTCGTTGGTTCAATCGGGTAGGGTAAATTCGGCTAAGACGGCCGTAGGCTGTAAATTTTCTCAATCGCCAAACAGTGTGTTTCTTCGAGTCTCACTCTCGGAGATAATTGATGTTTACAGTAGTTTGAGCGCATACACTGTTCGAAATGGCAATATTGTGAATGTATTGTTCCTTCAGCACTAGGATGTTTCTGTTTTCTCGTTATTTTCTTTATAGGACGAATTTCCATCTATTATCTTTTCATTTTCTTTTGAGTGTACATAAACTATGAATATTATATTACACTATAAATCCTAACAGGACAACGCTTTGTAACGTGCTGCTACCTAGTGGCAGCAGTTAAAAAAATACCGGGTGAATCTTCCACACATCCTAGTGTTTAAGGATTACATCACAGTGCCTTCTTGCCCGAATCTTAGCCCATTCCCTCGCTATTTGCGGAATTAGAGGCAGAAGCTTTCCGCAAATATGTTCTCTCACATACTTGTAGGCCCTGTTTATACTGATTGTTTAAGATACACGTAGCAATTAGCAGCTTTATCTTGATTATCTCCATTTTGTTGATGCGCGTAAACGACGGTGTATCACATTCGCGCGACACATTCGTGTTTACACGCGTCGTCGATATTAAGATAATCGAGACAACCGGCGCTGAGAGGTTGTGTCGTTAAATCGAGAGATGCGGTTTGAGCCGCGGCGGATTATAAACTGGTGCGCGACACGCGTGTTTACACGCGCATCGTCCGAATTACGATAACCTGCTAAGGCCGTTGTTAAACTGAGGTGATTTAACACAAAGTTACGTTATTTCGTTCGTGCACCCCCCTCACCCGAATCCCAACACACACACACACACACACACACACACACACACACACGAACGAGAGGATCGATGCGAGGCTACGCGCAGAATCACAGATTGTGCCGTGACCTCACCCTTGAGGTTCGTATCGGTTTCAACCTCGGCCGAAGAAATTCTCGCACATCGAGGAGAATCAATTCCGCTCGAATGTTCAAGTAAATGCCGCGCACGTGACCTCGTTAGCGTACGCGCCGGCACTTGCAGGAATGATCGATCGAGCCACGCGCGCGAGAACCGGCATCGACGAAAGACATTTTTCGAGCCGAGACAGGTGTAGTACATCGGCCGCCGCGCCGGGGTGAGTCTCGTCGAATAAGAGAAGAATCGCGATTACGTAATTGTCGCAGTCGACTCGCGCGCGCTCCAGTCCCGAAGCGACGATTGCGCGACCGCCTCTCCGAGGCGAGAAACGCGCAAGGTGAACCCCGGCGAGAGAGTCAGAGACGGTGCCCGCCCGGCGTTATCGGCTTGTGCCATATTTGCCGGTTATCTCGATATAACGCCTGCTTTCGCCGCGCGACAACGGCGAAATGAAACAAATTCCAACGACGGTTTCATTGCGGCCGCCGCTGTGTGTGTGTGTGTGTGTGTGTGTGCGGTATACAGGATGTCCCATTTTAACTTTGACAGGCAAAAATGTCGAAAAATACGAGAGATACTAAGAAATGTTTCGGACAACAGTTACACGCTTTCAAGGGGGCATGAAATAACTCTATCATTTTGTTCACAGATGGCGCCACTCTCGAGAGATAGTCACTGATCATTACTTTTCTCAAGTGGAAACCCCGATTTTTTATCGTATCATCTTTTTCTACCAATTAATTGGCACAACTTTCGTCCGAAACATTTTTTTCTAAAACGCTTGGTTTTCCAGATATTTTACCGATTCACGACTTTTTGGACACTCTGTATATATATATATATATATTTCTTCTTGTCGATTCATATGCGTATACTCACTTTGTGGCGCCGCTTGTGCCTGATGCTGCACCGCCGCTCTCTGCAACAAAAAGCCAACGGAATCGCTTAGAATGGTGAAGATCTCTCGCTACGCCGCGCCGCGCCGCGCCGCGCGCGCACACGCGCGCGAGAGAGATAGAGAGGCGAAAATTGGTCTATTCTGTCGCGCGCTGTTTGCCGAGCCGGCGGTAAATACTCTTGAAGCCGAGCCGTACGATCTACCGGGCAAACAGCGGCGCACCGACGATGTGACTTTCACCGTTTCGTCGCATAATCCAGAACAACAAAGTATTAACGGCGATAACGCGGTAGCTCGTTAAGCGACGTTATCGTTTCGAGCTTACGAGCGCGAGTGTCCGCTTCGTGAAATATGAGAGCCGTACAAAAAGTTCCAGCAAAGTGACGATTATTCGTAAACAGAATTGATTGATGCGAGCGTGAGAAGTTATTGAGACTTTTTTATCGGGCGGTCGCGATAACGTAGTGGCTAGAGAGAATCAAAGAGCACTGATTTCTACCGGAAGGGCTCGAAAAGATGGCGGCACCGTATTACCGTAAGAACGTTTTACCTTAAACGTATGTTGAAAAATAAAGCGCTTCGTTCAGTTTGCTGTCTTTTGATTTTCATTTGCCGGCAACTTTTTGAACTACCTACGTATGTGTGCATGAGAGAGAGAGAGAGAGAGAGAGAGAGAGAGAGAGCTGGTGTACGTTTTGCAAAATCAGTCGAATGCCCGAGGCCTCGAGGCTCTTGGCGTCCAAGGAGCGACTTCTCGGCTTGGCGCCGTAATAATCGTCCTTCTTGCCGCTCTTGATCCAGCGGAAGTACGAAGACATCTTGAAGAGAGCCCGCTCGATTCACTATCCGTTCTTTACAAACCCGTCGTCGCCGGCCGGGCGTGTCATAACCGAGCGATCAGAGCCGCGACGCCTTACGTCACGCGCGGTCGCCTCGCTTCGTTCTCTGCTCGTCAATGAACAACAGCTTGGACAGCTCGAACGGAGTAATTGCCTAATTACGGGAACGCACGCGTCTCGGCGGAAGAAAGGATCACTTCGCGAACGCGAGGAAGAATCGTCGCGCGCGCGCGCGCGCGGCCAACCGGAGCGCGCCGAAATCGGTTTCGGAAGCTTTGATTTTAGTCGCAAGGTCGGCAAGCAAGCCTTAAAAACTAACCTGTACATGTTACATATTTGATCAGCTGCTCAATTAACAAGTAATCAAAAATCCATTCACTTCTCCGTGTAACATTATACAATTAATAACTAGAGCCAAGTTTGTAAATAGAAACAATAAATAGCTGTGGACGTCCAAGTGTCCACAACCAGCTGAACATATTGAAATTAGCTTGAGGCCTACCAACCTCATAACCAAAGCCAAGGTTGTCGAAATCGATTTCGGAACGGAGCTCGGGATTCTTCGATCGATCGACCGTCGGAGCCGCGCATGCGCGCGCGCGCTCTTTTCCGCCGGCTCGCCGCTCTGCGAAATTCGCGACGACGCGCGCGAAACAATTAATGCAAATTCCATGGCTGCGGCGCAACGGGCGTAATAGACGCGCCGTATCGGCTGCGTCGTGTCGGCCGCGTGATAAACAAAAGCGATTACTAATAATACGACGATACGGATACGGCGCCCATATGTCACAGGTGCAGCGCACATTCGTGTCAACGATAGGGTCTACGTTGCGTCGCGAGTCGCCGGCGCTATCATTTCCTACGACATCGCGTTCGCACTTCGGATCCAGCCGAGTGTCGCCGACCGATCGGCCCGCTCCGAAATCGGTTTCAGAAACTTTGCTCGCAAGGTCGGTAGGCCTTCAACCAACTTGGATGCGTTTCGTAAATTGACCGGTTGATCGATTATCAAGCTAATGAATAACGAAAACTCTATCCACTTCCCTATCCAATATTGCAAAATTAGTAGCCAAGACCAAGTCCGTAAGTAGAAATAGTACACAGCTGCGAACGCGATCCGCACGCGATCAGCTGAGCTCAATCACGGCACGTGTTTAAGTTAGTTTGAGGCCTATCAACCTCATAACTGAAAGCAAAGTTTCCGAAAGCGACTTCGAAACGCGAAGGACGTCAACGATGACATCGTCAGCGACGATTCCGTCTTATATTTCAGGGATCGCGATCTCGCATGATCAAATGCCAAAACCCGCGGATTCTTCAAAATCCCATGGAATTTCAGGAATGCACGGGAAGCATCGGCTTTCTCTAGAACGGCACAGCGCGACGCGATCTCCTTTCGGCAAAGAAGCCTGTCTATCGCTCGCGGTAGCGCGCGCGCGCGCGCGCTCACGTTATCGTGATTTGAACAACGCGTGCGACGCAAATAGACGATGCGGGATTTTTCCATTGCAAATTTCGTATTGTCAGTAACCCGACGTGACACTACGACGCGTCTCGCCTACAAAAAGCTGCAGAAGTCACGACGAAGAGAACCGAAGCGGCCGACCTAGGCCGACCGAGGAGCGGCGACGCTGAAGAAAAGCGAGAACCGACCGCGCGCGAGAATCTGTATTCCGATTCAACCGCAGCGATTGAGAAAGGATTCCGCCGAGAAGGATTCCGGAAAAAGGAGCTCCGATCTCGCTGCTTGTCGGAGAGAGAAGGAAAATCTCCGCGGAGGGAGGGGGATATCATTTTTCGCTCGAATCGAACAAGGTCAGCCACGCGTCTCGATCGATCCGGCAAATTCCCGCCGATCCGCAGCGATCGAGATCGGCAACGCGCACGCACACGCGCACACACTCACACTTTGCCGATCCGCGAAAGTAAAAGGCGCGATCGCTTTTTTACGTGTTCGATGTCACGAGTGCGGCGTGTCACTGAGTGGGAAACGTGTCTCCTTTTCGTCTCTCTCCGTTCGACGCACACACACACGCGCGCGCATATACACGTGCTTGCCTCCCACCCGGCGGCGCACATCGGCGGTGCACACGATTGTACGGCCACCGCGTATTCTTTCGTGGCACCTGTGTACCCGCGACCTACCACGTGCGGGATCTCGCGAATTCAGGCGCGAATACAAACCGAGGGCGACGGGCGGATTGCGAACGCGCCGAGTCATCCCTGCGATGCACACGCAGGAGCGCATACGAGAGAATGGGGGAGAGAGAGAGAGAGGGAGAGGATTCTCCTCGCCGCGCCGGCGATAATTATATTTCATCGCGTATTGCGATATACGCGAGGCGGCAACGCCTACGTTGCGTCTCGTCTCGTCTCGTCGGGGCGAGCAAAAGTGTCGCGTCGTCGTTGCGAGTCGGAAGACGAGACGAGTTTCGACGTTAACGAATAAAGCGCGCGACCAAAGCACGACGGGTCAGGATCGGTGAGGTTCGGTGACGTTTTCGTATGCGGTGCAAAAGACGCACGAGGAAGCACGAGGGATCTTGCGGGGAAGCGGCTCGAAGGCGAAGGTAAGGCGATTAATTCGCCGGTCGTGGATGTCATCGCGACTGATGATTCTTTCGTAACGCTGCACGCCATTGTCCCCTCGAGAGCACCATCGCGGTCGCACCTGCAGCTCCTTCTTCGCAGATCAAGATCGGATTTTAACAGCCGCCTGTTAATCGGCCTGACGTCATTGACACATCTCGGGTAAAATTCGACGAGTAACTCGATTAACGGACACGTTTGCTGCGCGCGTGAAGAGCGAGCGTGAGGCACGCAGCGGCGACTGCGAGGAAAAATATCAATTTGAACGAGAAACCTGATCAAACCAGAGCCTCCTGTGCGTCAAAGTATCATATTAACGCTCCGACGACCGCATTTACGGACAAGCTTTCGTCGACCGCTCCGCGAGAGCTCGCTCGGGCTGCTTTTGTAATGCCCGCAAAAGAAAACCGTCTTTGTTTAAACCGTTTAATAAAATCCATCAATGGATGATAAAGTATTATTTCCTAAATTTGATGCTACTGGTTCTCAAGCAGCAACGTCGCCTAAGCAAAAAGTTCAGCGTTGGTCCGTCAGAACGCTTGACGTGTTAAATCTGCCCTTCCTCCTCTTCCCCCCCCCCCTCTCTCTCTCTCTCTCGTTGTCTATACTCTCTGTAGTATTATTATAATTGTGGACTCTGTTGCCATCGGCGAATATTTCTCTCCACGATGGTAAACGCTGGCAAATTCAAGTCACGCGCAAGCAACAGCGGCCGTTAAGAGGCGCAAATATCGTGCCGTCAATACACGCGCAAAATCGTCCTGGTAATTGTCGGTTGGTGCGATCAGAAATATAGTCTACTTGAAAGCACCGGCGAGGCATGATATTCGCATATCTGTTTAGCGTCTCTCTCTCTCTCTCTCTCTCGTGCGCGCGCGCGCGCGCGTGGGTTATTCTTAACAGCTTTCTTACAGCCGCGTGCCTGCGTGCACACGAGCCGCTGTATCGACGACTTATCGGCGTTATCATTTATCACGCGGTCACTTGGCAGGTAATATTTGCCCATCCATCAGCCGCGAAATAGTAGGGAACGTTTTTGCCCACTCTTCTTGACGGTGAGCGCAACGATAAGAGAGATGTCTATCTTTGCTAAGGCGGATTCTCGACCGGCTCGACCGTCGGTGACGGGCGCCGGGCTTTACCGATCCGCCTTTTTCTTCCTCCACGCGCGATCTTCATACAAATAATCGACGACCGCGAGAGACTGTTTGCTTACCGCTTTTCGCTTGTCCTCCGCGCTCAAGGCACTGTGACTCCTGTGCCTAATGAGATCCATGACTTTGCTCACAGGATTCCTGCTGCTCTCGGAGCCAGCTCTGGGCCGGCCGCTCTGGTAATCCTTACTGTCTCTTTGCTCCTTCTGGCTCTCCTTGTGATGCTCCTTTTCTATATGTACATCCACCGACGAGCTCCCGTGCGATCCTCTGTGCAAGGAATGCTGAAAAGTATCGGACATGCGCGATATGTGAGAAAATAACGTCACGCTCCTCTTTTCGGGTTTCTTAGCAACTCAAGCCGCTTACGCTTACGCGTTCCAAATGTCGACGTAAATATTGTAACATGAAACCGGTATGTCTCAACGCTGAACACAAATCTCCTTTAACCCCGCACGTGCACGGCACCGTGAGACCCAAGTTATGCTTTCTCTCAAAGTTTTAGTGCAATCGCAGCTGAAGCTTAATTTACCTCGGCAACCTCTCCCCTCTTTTGTCTTACCTGAACGGCACTTTTCATATTAGCTATAATACTGGGTTTCCTCTTGCTAGCGTCCGACTTGCTCCTCGGTCTGAAAGCATCAAAGAGCGCCGGTTTCCTAGTGGGGCTGGCGGTGTCATCGGCACCACCGCCGCTTCTCCTGCGTTCCGCGCTATTACTACGACTGTTACTGCGACTGGTCGAGCCGGATCGAGTGCCGGAAGCCTTTCGGCCGCCCTTGCCGGAACTCGACGAGCTCGACGGTTCCGCCGGCTGCGGCAGAGGCGTCGATTTTCCAGAACTTGGGGCGCTTCCGTAGGACGATTTCCTGATCGACTTGGAGTGTGAACCCCATGTATCTGCAACCGAAGTCGTTTCGATGTTACTTGTACAGGGTGTATCGTCAATATACAGGTTGGTACGACGGGTTGCCTACTCCCACGATTCGGACGATAATGCAGAGGTTGCCGGAAAAGTCACTCGGGGGCGGGGGGAGGCATCGTACTGACTTGTATATCGACGTTACACCCTACATCCACGTCGATGTGCCTGCCTGCCCGCTCTTTCCTCGTCGGAAGACACGGGTTGACGATTATTCGACACGACACGAGCGTCTCCTCGTCAAACGTAAATATTGCTCCGCAACTACTCGTGCGAGTTTATCGAGAAGCGCACTGAGAAACGCACGACGAGGAACGGACGAGACAAGCTTCGCTTGAAGAAAATTCATTGGACGTTTGATGAATCGAATGGTTGCTACGATGAGTTATCGATTGATTCGATGGTTGCGGTTTGCTTCAGCGGCCACATCGACGCGACGTGCTGTGGCTGGACGCGAGATACTCCTTTGCGCGAGGGTGATTGCCAATTTTGTCGATCGACCGATCCGGTTGCTTTCTTTTTTTCTTCGGCATGCAAGACTGTCGATTGTCAACTCACCTGCCCGAGGCCTGTGTCCTTGAGAACCATGGCTCGAGCTGTCCGTGTCCTCGGTGACAATCGTCGGGAGCGGTTGCGAACCCAGTTCCTGAAGATCAAACAACACGTGCGTTATTTTCGGGGTACACGTATGTGAGCGACTGTGTTAACGCGAAATCCCAAGGACTCCCCTCTCGTGACTTCTAGGAAGCCCGATGACTTCGAATCGTCCGACTTATCGTAAGTCGCGAACCTAAGACACAATCGGCGAGCAAATGGCGATTAGATATCGCAGTTTAATCGCACGATAGTCGATAACGCGTTTATATTTATTCTTACTCACGCGCATTCTTATTTACGCGCATTTCTTGGTAACTCAATCCGAGCGCAGTGCGAAATTCTGTCGCAGCTGCGAGAGAGCTCGCGCGTCATCAACTACTCGATTACACGCAAAAATTATAGCGATAACAAACGAGCCGTATCGGACGGGGACGAGGAGAAGAATTGTTAACAAGGCCACACCCGATCATGCAAATTACATAATGGGGAATGTAATGCATACTTTTGGACTTGCTCCAACGCGCGAGTCTTCTCTTCTGTCTGGAGAATGTCCAACACTTTTCGCACGCGCGAACGTTCCACTTTGTTCGCGGTTCGCAAAGCGCTTAACATGTTCGCGTGTTATATCTATTTCTGTTCTGTTATTCGGCCAAGCCAGGCAAGATTGCAGATTACGCATTGTCAACTGCAATGCGTCCGTCGCGCGAACGAGGAACTTTGTGGGTCTCATCGTCATGCGAGCTTTCACTGCTCGCGAGAGACGCGACAGTTTGATTAAAAATAAATACGATTAATAATTTCCAACTCGCACATTGCCGCATTTCGCGGCATTGCTCTTCGTTCGTTGGGAGCAAATTGCACTTGTACCATTCTCGTCTACGTGAATAGAGAGGATTTTACGGTGAGAAATAAATGGAAAATTCTACAGCCAGAAGGAACACGCAACGACATTCTGCCTCAACTCGTTAGCCTGCCGTTTCGCGTGTGTCGTTCATATTTCGGCGAAAACGAAATGTATTCTGTGAGAATTTTACCAGGCTCATCGGCGAGATAAGCTCCGCGACGACGATGAATCATTCCGTTACATTGACAAAAGATTGCGGCGCGGCCGCGACGCGGCGACGACGCTACTTGTAAAAATAACCCCGCGGCCTGTCGTCGACGTCGAGTCGCGAGAAATAACAAATTGTTGCGTAAGGAGGTATTAATAGGCGCCTCGTGGTCGGCTCGTTATGCGCATTCACGTGGATTCCCGTGGAGCACAATGGCAGAATGGGGATCGAAGAAGGGCGCGACAGGACGGCGACCTTCGGAGAGGTTCTCATCCCGGCGCTCGCTCTTCGGCGCTCTCGTTTCCCGCTCGCCAACTTTCCTCCTTTCCTCGTTCTCACTCCGGTTTTCCTCAATATCGGCACAACAACGTCGCGACGGAAGACACGAATCCCGCGGGGGAATGGGACGATACCTTGTAGGTCCCGTGGTACTCCGGACAGCGATCCAAGTACGGCACCAGCGAGTACTTTCGCACTCTCCCGAGAGACACCGACATCCTCTCGGTCCTTTCTCAGTCTCTTCCTCGCCTTCCCTCCCCGTTTCTTCAGCGTTCAGCCCAAGGCGACGCGCCGTCCGCGCGAACGTTCACGCCGCGAGTACCGCGCCATCGAGGCCCTAACGTCGAATACGAGTGTGCCCCCGCGATATCGCGGTCACAATCAATCGGAGTGACCACCGCTCATTATCGATAAGGATTTTCGGCGCTCGTTATTGGCCGCTGCTCGTTATTGGTGACGACGTCGTCGCAAGCCGCAAGCCGGGCGCTACTTTCGGCACCGCCGCCGATATGAGCTCGAGAGGCAATATTATTGCCCGTCCGCGTCTCTTCGTCGCGCACTTGTATTTCAGCCGCCTCCTCCCTTCTCTTCGAGCGTAACGTTCCTCGGTGGCGCTCGGGGGCCGACGGTTGATCAAGAGACTGTCAACGTCCACGGCGGGGTCGTCCTTCAGCGAAAAACTGGGACCGACTTGCCGTCCTCACGAGGAGTTCCTCACCAAGAGACGCTGCTCCTGCCGGCGCGAAAAGCGGCCGTTCATCGAGCAATCGGCGTCGACTGGTGACGATGGCGAAGGGCGTCGCGGGATCGCTCTCGCGGCGGCGGCGTCTTGTCGATCACTGACGGTGTCGTATCAATAATGACATTCCCCGGACGCAATTGTCATAACGTCGTTATCGCTCGGCTATCGAGATAATTCTGCGCATCTGTCCCGCGCGCGCGCGCGCGCGAGCGCGGGCCGGACGTTTTTATCAAATTTTATCGTCATTCAATTAGACGACTGTTTTATTGCTTGTGTTCATCGCGAGCACCCTATCTCATCGGCCCCCGCCATTTGCGGTTCTCACGGCGCAACGCGGAAGGCGATTTATCGGTAAATCCCAGTCGCTTCCTCGCGCGTCGCGCACTTCTCGGAACTCGTCGCTCGACTCTTTTTCTCCCGTCGCTATCTCGAAAAGTTTCCAGCGGAGGATTCAAGCTTTTCTCCGTCCTCCCGCGGATTTAATCGCTCCGAGCGCGTTGCGACATCCCGATGACTGGCCTCTCCTTCGAGGGAGCGAGGTTCAGAGGGAAAGCGGAGGGGGCGGGAGATTTTCTCGCGAGCAACGACGTGTCAAAAAGTACCGACATTGTGGCGCGCAATTACGCAAGGGGAAGCAATAAACAGTCAATCGACGCGCGCGCGCGCGCTTACGTCATCGAAAATTTCGCGATCGCGCCTCGTGCTCGGAATTCCGCGCGTTTAATCGCGTTTAATATCGCGATTAATATCAATAATTAAGTGAGTAACTCACTCGTCGTGAAATCGCCGCGCGCTTAACAACCCGCTCGGCCGACTTACTTTAGATAACGACTCCGCGCGCCGCCGGCCAATAATGCGATAATTCCGCAGAGATTGGACTATCGAGTCGGTTTCATTATTTAAAATGCGCGACACACAAATGCACACACGTAAGAGATAGCGCTCGTCCAGTCCGCGCTGCTGTGCCGCTGCTCTCGTCGGCGAGAGTTTCCGCGCGGCAGGAGGAAAAACCAAAGAAATAATTGCCGCGTTCGCGCGGATGCTGATTATTCTCTCTCATATTTCGCGAATCGACAAATTATGAAAATTTTCCATCCAACAGCCCGTTAAAACGCGAGAATGCAGTTGCGGTGCATCGAATCACGTCATATCATCGAGGAAACGCGCGAGCCACGCAGCGGCGAGATTTGATAGATTAACAGCCCTCCTCTCGCAGCCTCCCTTCCCCCCCCCCCGACAAATAGACATATTTTTGACGCGGCCGCATTGCGGCAAAAAATCAGCTGTGCCGTGATTTACCTGCCAACGGCAAAACGGCGACATCGGACGACACGTCGTGTGTGTGTGTGTGTATGTGTGACGCAACGCGAAGTTAACGGCGGACGATAAGCAGGTCCCTGTTTTCCGCTCTTTCCGCGCTTCTGGCGGTGCGGATGTGTCAAAGATTAAAACTAGATCGTGACGTAAGGAAATTATTACGACTGTCACGGTTAGATTGAGGCGGTGTCGCGCGGTTGCGTTGCGCAACGCCGAGTAATCGTCGCTCTTGAGCCGATCAAATTGCGGAGAAGCTTTTGTCTCCGTTTCCTCCTCCTTCTCCTCTCTCCATACGTGTGTGCGTGCGTCTCCGTGAGGTAAAAAATTCCACGGGAATCGGATCGGCTCGAATCGGCGAATTCCGAGGGATCGGCTGCTATCGGATTTGCATTGTAGGCGATCAATCATCCGCACAGATTCGACCGCCGGGGAAAGTACTTGCACGCGAAATGGAACGCGGCCGCGCGAGCAAACGCGAGGATCGAAACGACACAGAAAGCTGTACGAAGAAATCTGCGATCTCCACAGACACGCCGTCGTCTCCGGCAGCTCCGCTGACTGAGGCTGCTTCCATTTTGCTTCGCTGTCACATCGCGTTCTAATATTTCTCGCACGCGACAACGACGACGACGACGACGACGACGACGACGACGATGACAACGACGACGACGACACAGTCGTCGAAAAGACACGTCAAAATATTCGTCACAAGAACCGCTCGCGGCGTCGTGCGATTCCTCCTTCGAGCGAATCGATAGAGCTTCAAGGAAGCCTTGCGCCACTTGGCTTTACCCTTTCCGCGTTAGTCGTGTTAAATCGCCACGTCGAACCATCCAGGGCGCGATGCGACATTTGACAGGGAAAAAAGCACGCGAGGAGAAAACGAAGCGCTTGAATCAAATGGACGGGCTGACACGGACTCGGCTGAGGGAAACGGAATTTCCGGTTCCTGCGAGCTGAATTCGCTTTCCTCGCTCTTGAGAAAGAGAGAGAGAGAGAGAGAGAGAGAGAAAGGGAGAGAGAGAGAGAGAGAGAGAGAAAGAGAATTCTGGTTCTTTCAAATTCAATTGTAAATTCGGTTGAGAGGAGCGAGAATTTTGCTTCCTTCTTGCGAAACGCGCTCGCGACTTCCGGATTTCTCATCGTCTCACCTCCCTCCTCCCCGCTGGTAACGAATCAACAATCGGGCGAGGATCACTCGTGTCGAGCGCGGGAAAACAATCAATGACGAGCGTTCGTGACGTTCGCCGCTTCTTCCTACTTATTAATCAACGCGTAATGTGCAATGCGTGACAAAGACATGAGAAATTACGCGATCTGTCGCCGAGACAAGTAATTTCCACGTGAATGGAAACGATCGTTTCTCGCGCAGAACAGTGATGTTGCCCCTCCGCGATTCCGAGCGCAAAGTGGAAGGCATTCTTGCGAGTTTCCAGTAGTTCTGAGCCTTGACCGAGCATTTTAGAAAGAAATGCTTCAGACGAAAGTTATTCAAATTAAGCGGTGGAAAGAGATAACATGATAAAAAATTGGGATTTCCATTTAAGAAAAGTTCAGTTTAACGATCAGTGGATATCTCGGCGCCATCTGTAAGCAAAATGATACAGTTTTTGTTTCGTGTCTCTCTTGAAGCCACACAACTTTCGTCTGAAACACTTTCCTCCAAAGTGCCTAGTTTTCGCGAGACATTTCGCCGTCCCGGTACTTTTCATACACCCTGTATATGTACATAAGCGACTACTCTGAATTCTTTAACGCGATTGAAATGCCGAGCGTAGAGGCGGCCGTCCCCTCCCTCCGCGCCATCCCTCTGTACCGTTGGACGCGAGGATCGATTCTGGGACACGCGAATGCTGCTTTACTTCGCGCGACAGTTGCAGAAACTCGCTCGCGCCAAACGGTCGACGCGTCGCCGCGCGGCGATTAAATGCGGGAACGCACAGTTTGCAAATGGCGAGAAGACGCTCCCCCGCACTTGCGATTCCGAAATTTTTCTCCCACTCAGACAGACCGACGTTTTTTTCGCGACGGCCACAATAGCCGACCCACTTATCGGCAGTATCGACACGTAGGCAGCGTAACGCAAAGAACAGTCACACACACACACACACACACAATGCGTTTTTCTCGTCTCTTTGTCTTCCCGATCCTGAAAGTAGCGTACATTTCACGAGAGACGAAAAGTTATCGTGTCGGGAAGAGACTGTTAGCCGACCCGAATCTCGGAGTTATCGAGATCGTCAAGGCCGCCCTTTTCACGGAGAAAGGAGGAGCAGGAGCAGCAGCGGCGGTAGAAGAAGAAAAAGAAAAAGAAGAAGAAGAAGAAGATGATGAAGAAGAAGAAGAGAAAGAAGAGGAGCAAAGGAAGAGGGAGAAGAAGATAAAGCAAGAAGAGGAAGACGAGGCTCTCGTGTTCTCCCTGCGGCCGATTCATCCTACCTTTCTTTCACGAAGCCGTGCACTGTCACGATGATCGTGCGCGCCGCGCACTTCACGCCGGTCGTTAACCTTCCGTTGTTTACGGAAGTTGCACGCCAACCGCGACTCGCCTCTCGACGATCCCGCGATCTCGCCTTTCACAGCATCCCGACGTGCGCGAAGAGCTCACGGCGGCTCGCCCTCGGACGAGCGCTTCGACGGAAGAAGAAGGAAAATGCTGAGATCACGCCTCGCGACTACTTTGACGAGCTCACACGATTGTCTTGTCCGTTTCGGGAGAGACAATGCCTAACGAGAGAGAAAGAGAGAGAGAGAGAGAGAGAGAGAGAGAGAGAGAGGAGAGAGAGAGAGAGAGAGAGAGAGAGAGAGAGAGAGAGAGAGAGAGAGAGAGAGAGAGAGAGAGAGAGAGAGAGAGATCCGCGCAGTATCGTCGCGGTGTGCAACGATCATGTGACAAAAGTATCATTAAAAGGTTGATAAAGGTTTTAATTTTTTGCGCTGGAAATTAACTGACCGATGCCCGTGACGAGATGTTTCACTTGAGATCGCTTCTATATTTTAAACATTTTAAACAGATTACGTGTAAAAAATTTATTGAGACAAAACAGAGTAAGAAAGTTTAGTATCACTTTATACCAAATGGAGTAAAAAAGTTTAGTACCGCTTTTTCTTCCGACAAATAGTTGGCGAGATGTCGCGAGCCAAATATTGGAAGAGTTACTTAAATATCTCTCAACACTGGAAGTTTTCCCTAAATATCTCAAAAAATATTAGACAAGCAAAAAAATATTTCAGGCAAAAGTTCTTCAAATGAATCGATAAAAAAAGATGATACAATAAAAAACGGAGGTTTCCATTTACGATTTTAAGGTTGACCATAATTTGATCTCTAAATTTGATCCCTAGATCAAGTTCAAGTTCACCACTAGATGCCCATTTCTAAACCCTAAAACTTTTGTATTTGACATTCTTTTCTACTAAAAACGTCATGCCTTCAAGGGCATCCGTCATTCTGGCACGTCCTGTATATACGCCCGTTGAAACACTTAAAAGATTAAAGATTTTTATTTAACGTTAATAGCTTGTTTTATGCACTTGGCAAATTTTTATCGAAATAAATTTTTGTGCTATTATTATTCCACTTTAATATCGTGTGCAGGCTCAAATTAACCATTTTAATTGCTTTAATTGTTACAGCACGTCATTTCAGCATAAAAAGTTAAACCCTTAAACCCTTAGCTGTCAATGACGGAAATAACCGGAAGAAGAGACTATATGCCATCGCGATTCGTCATCGCGTTCCTTCTGTCCATCTTTCATGCCGCATTTTCTGACTCCGTAATCTCGTAACTTCTCGTAATTTTATCATTTTTCTTTCCGCGGATATTTCCGTTATTAACGGCTGAGGGGTTAATAGCGTCAACCGCCGTCGAAACATCGCCGCGGGGCGAACAATGCGCTCTTCGTCGCATCGCGACCGACGAACAAACGCGACGCTACCGCCTGCAGACGGGAAGAAAAAGAGGAAAGAGCGCGACAATCGCTTATTCTCGCGAATGAGCGGCGGGATTGCTCCCGCGCGACTCGTCTCTCGCAAGAGCACACGCTGTGCGATCTGGCGGTAAACAAATTTGCGCGATCGCCTCTCCCCCTCTCTCCTCGCGGCAATTAGTCAATTAGCGCAATTATAGACGAGGCGACCGGGCCGTCGACATCGACGTCAACATCACCCATATCGACGCCGACGCCGCCGCGACGCGGCGCGGCCGTACGTATGTATGCACATGTCATTAGCTCTTCGATCCTTCGAAAAGGATGACGCACGACGAAGAGATGTTAGATTGGGCGACGACTCGCTCGTCTGCCGACAAAGACGATGAAATCCTCCCCCGGGAAGAAAGGAAACGACTCAACGATACGGTTCAACGAGACGACAATATTTCACACGACAGCAGAATATTTCGCGCGTCGCACGCACACGCAGCAGATACAAATTCGTGGAAAGATTTGTGTCGAAAGAAAAAGAAGATGTTAAAATATATTCCTTATCGGCAGAATAATCGCGCAACGCGACCGAAGAAAGAGGACAGATGAGAAAAACAAGCGACTATTGACGAATAAACGATGAGATTACTTTCGCAAGAATTTACACTGACGATATCGCCGTAAGAGATAAAAGAGAGCGCGCGATCGATTAGGTTATTAAAATCAAGTCGTTTTGTTTTTATAAGTAGAATGTAAAATAAATATAAGGTGTTCGGAGCTACTTTTTTATCATTCGTCTGAAGCCTATATTTAGTTTAATTAGGTTCGGTTTGATCAAGTTTGATTGCGAATCGGGAGAGAGCCGTTAACTGTGACATGTATAATTATAAATTTGGCTGTTTGCACGAAAAATACTGATCTTCTTACAGCTTGTTTCATTGATCATTAGAAAAGAGATCGTCGTTCATGATGCAACAGTACCTCCAAACACTCAGTGCAAGAAAAGAACGAAAGAAGAAGAAGAAATGAAAAAAATATCTCTCACTTACCCGACGTTTCCGCTCTTGCACAAAGTCGATCCTGCGCACCCACACCTCCTCCGTGGAGTCGTAATCCAGAGTGCTGCTGCTGCTCGCTTGGCTCTTCATCTCGATCAGACTACTGTCGAAGAATCTCTTATCAAGATGAGGACTCGGCAGCGGGCTGGTTCTCGAGAAGGTCATGCTGGTGGAGTACGTGGGAGGATCGGTAGCGGGGAAGGTCATGCCCGGGCCGGTGGTGTGCCGCCTCCTCAGAGGTGGCTTCGTCGCGGAGGTTGGCGACGTCACCGTCGACGTGGTGAACCTGCCGGAGGACGTAGCCGTTGACGCGGACGTCGCGACCGTCGTCGTCGCGACCGAAGTCGTGCTGGTTGTCATCGACGACGACGACGACGACAACGACGACGACGTCGTCGTCGTCGTCGTCGTCGTCGTCGTCGTCATCATCGTCGTCGTCGTCGTCGTCATCGTCGTCGTCGTCGTCGTCATCGTCGTTGTTGTTGTTGTCGCCGCCGTCGACGTGGTTGACAACGGCGATGGTGGTTTCGCTTCCGAGACGCTGGACGTCACCATGGACTTCTCATCGATCTTCTCCGAGCTGGAATTCTCCGAAGGCGACGGGCTCGAGGCTTTCGACGTCTTGGAGGAGACGCTGTCAGCCTTCTCGGCTTGCGACGTCTTCGTCACGTCCCTCTTGTTGTCGACGCTCGAGTTGTCGGTATTTTTCCCTGAAAAAGTCATCGCGCGCATTTGCATTCTTGTTGCTTTCCGCGTGGCGTTCGTTATGCGATTTGTTATGCGCGCCGAGGTGCACCAAGGTCGAGGAGCGACACAAAGGCGCGTCTGTGACCCCGTTGTGAACGTTGGAAAATTCGCATCGATGCGAATAAGAATTGCGTCGCTCAAGGTCTCTTTCTATCTCTCTCTCTTGCTTTCGCTCCCGCGCGTGAAACGAGCGTCGAAAAAGCGTTCGTTTTTATCGCCGGTGACGCGACAATGACGACGAAAGTCCCGGTGCAATCGCACAGCCGACAAGCGCGAGACTATCGCGAGAACGTCAATTTACAATGAAAAGCGGAGGCGCGCGTCTACGCGAATATAAACACGTGATTCTTCACGCACGTCGTGACGCAACGAGGAGGCCTTATCGCCATTATTTTTGACGCCGCGATACTCGCCACGTGCGTCGCGCGCGGGGACGAAGAAGCAGGAGGAGGATTCCAGAGACAGGTTCAGGTTCATGCGCGCGTTTCCTCGCATTCCGAGCAAACAATTGTTAGGGCCATCCTCATGAGAAGCATAAAGCCCCCCGATAAGGCTGAAAGAAAGATGCTTTGAAAAGGGATGGAAAAGGCTCATTATTACCACATCAGATCCGTTCCGAGATGGATCTTTCCGAGAACCCTATTAATTTTTCTACTCAGGATCGTCCTGTGTTCCGTAGCGGGGGACACACGTCTTATAAATACACCTAAGCGCGCGCGATCGTTACCTAAGTGGAGTGACTTTTCGCACCGCGCGTTGCCAAACGCACCGCCGCGCTAATCTTAGATCTCATTGGCCGAGCTGCTCGTAATAGCCGATATTTCGCAAGCCCATGCCTCTCCTCGTAATTGTCCGCGCGCGCGAGCCGCGAGATAAGAAAACGGAGCGCGTTCCCCCACCTTCCTCGGTCTCGTATTCGTCCTCTTCCCGGCACTCCGACAGTCTCCTGCCCCAAGGATACGGACTGTGTGTCTGGTTCCGCGACGGCAATCTGTTGACGTGCGACAGGAAGTAGTGCTGGAAGAAACTGTCGACGCCGTCCGAGTCCTCCCCGGAGGACTGCAGCATGTCCTTGAGCGCCGCCAGGGAGGTGATAGTGTTGTAGTTGATCGCCGAGACCAGGTCGTCCTCGATATCGCTGTCGTCCGTGGTGTCCTCATTTTTGCACTCTTTCGACTCATCCTTGGTCTTCTCCGCCTGCGCTGTCGTCGTCGTCGTCGTGGTCGTCGTATTCTCCGTCGGCTTAGACGGCTCGGTCTTGTCTTCCGAGCTCGTCTCCGACTCGTCGTCGGAGGTGCTGGTGGACGTGGAGTCGCTGGACGACTCCTCCTCTTTCTTGCCGCCGCTCCTCGTCTCGTCCTTGCGCTCCTCCTCGTCACCTACGGACGCCTTGCTCTTCTCGTCCTCCTCGTCAACCTCATCGTCGTCGGCCGACGATGACAACGTTTTTAGCTCCTTCATCTTGCCGTCCGCGCTGATCTCCAGCTTGTCCAGGTTCGCGCTCTTCCTCCGTGGGGTCTCCCGCTCGTCCTCCGCTTTCATTTTCCGCTCCACATTCTTCTGCCCGGTCGTGTCGTCCTCCCGCTTCCTGTTGTCGTTGCTCACGTCGCACTCGTCCGATTCGTTCTGCTTATCGCCGCCGGAACTCTCCATCGGGGAACCTGAAAGGGAGCATCGAATTATCGCTCTCTCGCTCAGCGTTCTTTTTCGATCGCCCGCGCCAAGCCGGGCTCGCCTCAGATGAAAGAGAGAGAGAGAGAGAGAGAGAGAAAGAGAGAAAGAGAAAGAAAGAAAAGGCTTTGCAAGCCGCGCTCCTTCCTTTCTCCCCACGTACGTCGCTCTCGTGCGCGCGTTCCGACGTATATACCCCGTGTACGCCTATAGCGGTATGCGCATATAGCATGCATATACGGAGCGTGACTGTAGAGGCGATTCGCGACGGTCACGAAATAGAGAGCGCGTACGTACTCGTCACTTATACCGCAATGCGCCAGTGACGCGCCTATCCTCGTAACAACGTGTTATCTCTCGCGATTCCCTCCTCGCGAGCACATCAGCCGGCCGTGCAAAAGGAGAAAAGAGAGAAGAAGCGAAAGGGAAAGAACGCGTGCACGGCACGACACGACGGGCACGACGATCGAGTAACAAGCGAGCCGACAAGGAGCCGCATCCTCGAGGGGAGTAGCGTGCGCTCCGCTATATGTAAGAGAGAGAGAGAGAGAGAGAGAGAGAGAGAGAGAGAGAGAGAGAGAGAGAGAGAGAGAGAGAGAGAGAGAGACAGAAAGAGACATGAGTCACGCAGCAGCAGACGCGGTGTGTATCGCGCGCCACATAGACGCGAGATCACAACGACGAAGAGGAACGGCGAAGCGAGTCCCTCTGGCCGGCCGCCAGTTAGTCGAGCTCCGCTCTTCGCATCCGCGAGTACTTGTTTACCGCGTGCTAGAAGAGCGCGTGACGTAAAACACTATTCGGCGGGCTCGCGAACCGATCGGCACGACGCGGCCGGAGCCCCGAGAAAGAGAGAGAGAGGGAGAGAGAGCGACACGGCTCTCCGCCTCGCGGAGGGGCTCTTTCTCTCGCGCGCGAAGACAGCACGTGAGGATGCGGGAACAAAGCCGAGAAAAAACGCGGCTGCGATAAATTTGCCACCGGAAAGATCGCCGCCACCGCCGCCGCGTTTCTGCCCCTCGATTTTATTACGTGCATCACAGGTCTCTGCAGACTTCGGTTCTCGCGTCTCTCCCTCCTCCTCTCTCTTTCTTACGCTTCTTTCTCCGTTCGCGCTAAAACAATCATACGCGTACGAATTAACGCGAGCGATTTCGATTACCGAGACGTACAACTTGGTGACCGACGAAAGGGTCTTATCTCCGACGAAAAAGTACAGCGAGGAAATTTACCGTCGTATTTGTCTTATCGTGCGTCACGCGGCACGAAATCCCACGATTGGATACGAATTCGAGCACGGTGCGTAAAAATGTGTAATCCGCTGCCGGGATCGTTACGGTGACAATTATTACCGTGATGTGTACTCCACGTTACATCCGTCCGATATGACGTAACTTTCTCTCTCTCTCTCTCTCTCTCTCTCTCTCTCTCTCTCTCTGCATCTTTGTCTCTTTTCCCGTAAAACCCGCTAACGATCGAGTCACTTCCACTCGATACACGACAGAAAGGAGCGCGTACACTCGTCGGCAAAACTCACGCGTGCGTTCGCGCACGAAAGGCGCGTTGTTTTCAAACCCGGAGCGCGCATCCTTCGAGCTCCTCGAGGAGTTCTCGTGCTGTATTTTTAAAAATACACGCTCGCGCCTATAATTACTCCAGCATGCGGCTATTCTGTGCGCGTCGTACTGAGAGTGTCTTACTTTAATTATAAACGTTCGAGCGAGCGGCTACGCGAGCGAAAGCACTCGCTTCATCTACAACGGCCGGCAAAGGAGGCAGAAGGAAGGAAAAAAAAAAGAAACAGAGAATGAAAGAAAGAAACCCGAGGAGAGACGCGAGATCGCCCTTCGCTTTGGGATTCGATCAACAGGTGTTTTCAAATACGATCTCCCGGCGTCTCGCGCGCGACTTTCGCGAACGTTTGTACGCGCGGTAACGCACCTAAGGAGTTTACGAAGCGTTCACGCGTGCACGTCCTTTACGGAACACGCGGTGTGCTGGCGCACCGTGTCGGCATTGAAAACAAACAGCTGATTCGAGAGACCGTCGTACTCGCAGAGCCGCACCTCGCTGAATAATCACGCCCCCCTCCCTCCCGCTCCCGTTTATATAATTTCATCCGCGCGCTGGGGAATATCGAAGATCCGCCATTCTCTCAGCCATGCGCCCTCCTTCGGAGGGTCGTCTCGTTCTTTCTAGGAATGAACGATGTTCGAAAATACATCGATGTTTAAAATATCGATTAATGAAAAAAAAATTGAAATGACCGATTATTTTCTAAAAAAAAAAAAAAATCGATTTATCGATTAACTGATTAAATTTGCAAAGTAAACATTTAAATTGGTTAGCACCGGATTAAACGCTGCTAGGAGTGCGTATTTGCTTCGGAAACGTATTTGAAAAACGACATTACAAAAATCCTATATTTAAAAAACATAAAAATCGGCTGCCGATGTTGAGAAAAAAATCATCAAACCTCGATTGAGTAAAAATAAAATCATCTGAAAACATCGATTAATTGAAAAAAAAAAAAAAACAAGAAAAAACTATCGCAACTTTGACATTGAGCCTCTTCGGGAAAAATCTATTCAAGGCTATCAACACATTTCAGGGTATCTTCAGGGCAAAATTCGTGTTAACGGAGCGTAGGTGGTTTTCCGAAGTGAATCTACCCGACGTTCAACGAGAGAGCAGAACCGATCGCTGCTGCATACGGCGGGTCGGGGTGACGAAGGGAAAAAGTATACATTATTTTTCTTGGCTCGTCGCTTTCGTTGCGATTACGCAAACGGCACAAGCATGGACGGCAAGCAAGGGCGAAAAAGGAGGGGCTGCGAAACAAGTACGGCGCTGTAATAAACGCGCGAGCACGCACACACACACACACACACACACACACACACATTTATACCGATCCGTAATAAAGCGCGTGTAAAACATCGCTGATGCTTCGCCTTATGACCTACCGCCACTGAACAGTGCGCTCGACTTTAGCGTAACTACGATCAATTTCCGCGATAAGACTATACGCTATGTACACCGAGCAGCCTGTTGCCGATCGCTGGCATTTACACCAGCCACTCATTTTGTAATACAAAAATGGCGCGAGAGCAGAAGCGTGCGTAAAGGGGACAATTAACGACGCATGCGAAGTTGTCGCATGCGTCAAGACAGTCGATCGCGTCAAGGTAGGTAGGCGCAAAATTGTAACACAGACAACGCGGTGCAACAGCGAGCTCGACGCTCGCAGTGAAGAAGGGAAAAAAAAATCGAGTAAAAAACCGAGTCTCAGGGCTGCGCGGGTTCTCTCGCGCGGACTGCGAGCGAGCGAGCGAGCGAAGTTACGGAGAAGTCGGGTCGGATCGAGAGCCTGCCTTCATGTGGGGACTTGAGCCTGACAAAATCTAGTCGAAGATACGAGATGATTAGCGAGATGAACTGCGCGCGTAGAGCTGCGCGCACACGGGGCGTAGATATTGTTTTCGACTGTCGCGAGATTAATTGCGTAACGTGTGTATGTATGTTTGTTTGTACGTGCAGCGTGAGACGGGTAGGATTACGGGATGCCCGAGGAAGTAACACGCGTGCAATTTCGTCGCTCGCTCGAGCAATGCGCGCGCGACCGATTCGAAGTATTCGAAAGAACCTTGGTCTAATAAATGTCGAGGCTATTGTGCTGCTGGTCTGAGCACGAGTCAGGCGCGAATGCCTGCAACGAGGAAGAGAGAGAGAGAGAGAGAGAGAGAGAGAGCTCGGTCTCGAATTTCGTCCGGCCATCGCGCTCGCGCGCTCGCAGCGGTTTTGTAAATCGCGCGGACGATCAAATGGCCGAGGCTCGAGGCTCGAGCGATCTATCTTCGCTCGAGCGCGTGACGATCACTGGTAAGCACGTGCTCCACGATCAATTATCGTTCACAAGTGAGTAAAACGGCCGCGTCGAGCGGCGGAGGAACACCCCGCGCGAAGAATCCGCAGCAGCAGGCCGTTCTTTCAGCCTCTTAGCCTCTTATTATGAGCGGACATTAGGATTGCTTCATTGTGCGCGATGCATTATTTATTCCACGTTATTCCACGTTCCGTCGAAGCGGTACAATTTGTCACAGCTGGTAGCTTTGCGTTAATGTCTAGAAAGAAGTTCGTACGATTCGAAAATATTAATAAATTTGTACTGAATGTTAGAGCTATTATGCCCCTCCCCCCCCCCGTTCACTGTGCACTTTTCGGTCTCAGCATCGGCCGCGTATGAGACAAACTTCGTACTATTGCAACAACTCTACCGAGAACTTCGAGCCGCTTATAGAGACGCGTGTGATCTCATCGTTGGCATCTTTTTCAAGCGGAAAAGCTGGAGCGAGCAAACGAGCGAGCGAACGAGAAAGAGAGAGAGAGAGAGAGAGAGAGAGAGAAGAGGCACGTTCTTTCGTTGTACCGCCGTAGCGGACACGACGATGTGACAAACTAACGTGCAAGTGCAATTCTTAATAGAAATTCCACTTGAGCAATTCCCGATACAAATTCCCACGAGTAAACGTGCAGTCCGTGCAAATTCCGTCTTGACCCGAACAATGCCGAGTCGGAATCCCGACTCGCCGAAGACTGCGCCAACAACGGCGGAATCGCGAGTCGAGGAAATTTCCTCCTCGTCGATCACCGGGAACAAACAATCGCTACCGCCACGGCGCTATGAACAGTATGAACACGTCCGAAGAAATCGACCGTTTGACACACACGCGAGCTGCAGCTCGGTGCATAGAAAGAGAGAGAGAGAGAGAGAGAGAGAGAGAGAGATATATAAAACGCGAGATCGATCGATCACGTGCGAGTATCTCGCAGCGCTAAAGGACGCGAGTTTCGCTGTGGCCCCCCTCTCTCACTCTCTCTCTTTCTCTCTCGCGCGCGCGCGCGCACGCGACGACGCCTTGCCAAAAGTTTCCACGGAGGATGAGACTTTATCGAGGATGACGACGGCAGCTCGATCCCCGCACGCTCGACGGAGGATTTCCCCGTCGCCACGTTGTCTGCCGCGGCTTCAACGACGCCGGTCGAGCGGTGCTTCCTCCCCCCCCCGCGAGAGCGATATCGCCGCCAAGTCACGCCGCGTTGCGCAAATGTCGCTTTTAAGGGGAGAACCGCGCGCGGCATTTACACGCACTCGCGTTTGCTTTTTAACGCCCGCTGGGTGAAAGGAGAGCGCACTCGCCGCACGCACACACCTCTCTTTGTCTTCGCCAGGGTAAATTGACTCAGGAGAGGACAATATTTTTCGCCCGGCCTTCCTCCCCCCTTCGGCGCGCGGACCGATGCACCTCGCCTTTTGTCCGCGGCGGGTGTGCTGCTAACAAGAGCACATGTGGCAGCGACATCCTTCTATCTTTCTTCTACTCTCTTCCGCCCCCCCCTCTTTCTCTCTCTCTCTCTCTCTCTCTCACGCGCGCGCGCGCGCGTGCAAGATCGCTGGTCGAGCGAAATAAGAATAAGAAGCACACGCAATATTCTTCCGCGTGCGTATCTTACATGTTAACTGCACACGTTGTTTCGACGCTTCCGAGAACTCCTTCTCGCCGCTCTCTTGTCTCACAATCGCGACTAATTGGCCGATATCCTCGACCTCGTGGCATTTATCGAAGCGACCGGCGAGTTTCCGGGAACAATCCCGGAAGTCTGGTCTGTCACTCACATGCAACCAACAACACATCGTTCTATATTACTCGTCTTCACGATAGACGAGCGTTTCTCTCCCACTCTCCTCTCTCGCCTCATGAGAAGATAACGCAAGATCTTCCTGTTCCGGAATCGGTTTCGGGAACTTTGGTTTTAGCTGTAGGGTTGACAGGCCTTCAACCAATTTAGATACGTTCCGTAATTGACTCGGCTGATGAATTATCAAGATAGTAAATAATAAAAAATCTATCCGTTTCTCTGCCTAATACCGCAAAATTAAAACCAAGCTCGTGAACAGAGATACTAGATAGGTTCGAACGTTCAAGCGTGATCAATTACGGAGCGCATCCAAGCACAAACTTTTATATTATACACTAGACCAATAACTGGTCTCTTTAACACGTCCCCTAAAAGTATGTATTAAAATTTCGTGCATGCGCGTTGCAAGGTCCCGAGAGAAATGTAACTGCACCGTACAGGTATTTTTGCTCCAGAAAACATTAATATTTAATAACAGTATCCAATATTTTATATTTCCTCTTCCAATGTCAATTCATTCAATGACACATTTAATGTTCACATAAATATTAAATATTGGACAAATATTAACATTTTCTGAAATAAAAATGCCTGTGCGGTGCAGCAGTTACGTTCGTACTTTCGGGACCCTGCAATGCACATTTGCGCACGATTCTATGTTTCTATATAAGGCTTTTACACATGAAAACTATATAATGGAAGTTCTCAGTCCAGCTTATATACAGAAGTCTGCACATCCGAGTCCGACTTTGAGGTCCCCCTAGCAACTCTGTAAAAAAAAAAGTTTCCAAAACTGACTTCGAAGTAGGCCTAATTTCCGCACAAACTTTTATGAGGATCAGAGTCTTTTTACTGTCACCCTCCCCCCATGCCCTCATTGAACGACTTCCGCAGACTTCGCAGGCTGCGCGACGCGCGAGGAAACGTTCGCGGTTTCACGGCGGATAATAAAACGCGCGCGTCGACCGCGATATCGTTCGCGTGTACGCAGACGGCGTTATCGCGACTTCGCGTTATTACCGCCACATCGTCGCGCCGCGCCGTCGTCTCGAATCTCGAATGTAATCACGACGGCGATTACGCTCCGTCGGCGATCGCGACGGTTTCGCGCCATGTGTTTCCAATAAATTAGACCGATCGCGACGGTCGGCGGCGATCTCGAGATACGATCGCTCCCCACCGGATGCGTCCGCGACTTGTTCTTTTTTTTCTTTTTTATCGTAATCGCTCGTGAGAGTGCACTCTTTTATTATCAGCTGCGCGCGATAAAATACGACGGTAAGTCTCGACGGTGACTCTCACTCTCTCGCGAGCCTCTTCGCGTGGAAACTGACCCAGCGCGGCGCTTCGAAAGTCACGAAAGTCACGACAATGTCCGCGGCCGAAGGTTAACGCTGTTTATATTTGCGTTATCGAGAGAGGTGTGTTATCGGGAGAGGTGTGTTTAAAGGGCTGCTTGCGCGCAGCCGAGAATGCCCGTCGAATTGTTATCTCGCGTGATTGTTTGGCTGCGTTTGTTCAGTTGCGTTACTTCGGCGGGGCTGCAGCGGGGAAAAATGTTTGGTTGGATGAACCCCAATTGTCTGCTGAAATATGGACGATTCAGAAATTCCAGCTGAAAGCACGATAAAGTTCTGTTCAAGTTCACGAGGAATCTTGATGATATAGAGACGAGATTCCATAACTTCAATCGAAATTCTTTTCTGTATCGCTCACATTTCATCGGAGAGGATTGTTCCGTTCAAGCAAGCATTTTCCTGCATATATAAGCAGCAAGTACTCTTCAGGTTCTCAAAAGCTAAAGTTGCGAAATTCACCGAGCAACACAGTCGATTATCCCGCTTACAGTTGGAGGATAAACCACCACGGTGGTTAAGAGTTCTGTTCACGTACAAATCTTGATGATTTAGACTGATTTAATTCCGACAACTTTGATCGGAATTTTTGTGTCGTTCATGTTTCACCGGAGAAGATTGCTCCACTCAAGCAAACAAGTATAGCGAATACTCTTCAGGCTTTCAAAGGCTAAAATCTCAGGCCCATAACGCACACGTGAACGTATCAAGCAGGAAGCGGAATTGATCGAACAACACAGTCAATTATTCCGCTTGTTGAAGCGGAAGTTGAAGAATAATTCACAGTGTGGTTGACTAATCTTTATGATCTCCTCGGATCTACATGACCCGAAAAGAAATTTAACTCCTTAAAGGCTACCGTGAATGAAAGTTCACCCCATGCGAATTTTTGATCTCACTACAAAAAAGTAACTATACTGACGATACAAATTTTATAGGTATCTATTTGTATACTAACAGTAACGATATATTGTGATAAAGTAGATCAATTCTCGTGTACACTTTGCTATAATAAATGCACTAACAAGAAAAGTTAGCTTGGGATGATGGTAACTTTTAAAAGTTAACTCCACATGCATATTATATATTTTATATCTAATTGTCAGTACTCTTTTTTTCATGGACTTTGCTTAGGTGGAGTATATACGAAAACAAAGGTTAGGTCAGGTTATAAATGGAGTATATACGAAAACAAGGTTATAAAGTATAGAATACTAATAATTAGATGAAAAAAAATTAATGTCCAGTTAAATTTCTTTTCGGGTCGTACAGACCCGAGGAGAACACAAGGGTTAAAATTCCACACAAAAATTCCACACAAAGTTATTGGAGTACAGAGTAGTAACAATTCGAACCATTCGAATATTCATCTCGAAAAAAATCGATTCTTTCCACGATTTTCAATCCACCGTATCTATTTGTTTTCAAATAGAGACCGTGCGTCGTACATGATTCTTATCAAGAGAATGCGACTCTACTCGAGGCGAAGGCAAGATGACGTAGCCCCGAGTGAAAAGAAAGAAACATTTCAAAGCTACGTAAGCGGTACAATATGTCGTAAATATTTGTGAAATGGAGCAGCCCTTAACGCGTTATCGAATGAAGGTGTACTCACGTCGAGGGCGGAATCGAACGCTCGAGCGTGGCGGACGATGATGGTGGGACGAAGGAGATCGAAATAACACGAAAACAACACATCCGTAAAACCAACGATCGAACACTCGCTCCGACGACTCGCTAATAAAGACGCTGGCTCAAGTTAGGTTAGGTTAGGTGAGGAAAGCGTCATCATTTCCCTGCGTGTTGGCAGGCCACGCGAGCCGCGAGGCGGCCACGTGTTACGATAATTAAGCGAAGTAATCGATAACCCAACGCGAATCAACACACCAGCAACCGATGTCGCCGCCGCCGCCGCAAAATAACGTAACGTCAACGGCGGCGGAAAAAATAGAGCAGAAAGGACGAGACGCAGCCGGTAGAAAGGAACGAGTCAACGTACGAAAGCGAGCGTGACGCTCCGTATTTATAAGCGCGCACGTATACGCAAACGCACACACGTACACCCCTGCGAGGATTGTTAGAGGGGTGCAGACTTACCTTAATTCCGGAGCGTGATCGCGAATCCTACCCACGAATCCTCCACGACAGCGGCGGCGGCGGCGGCGGCGGCGGCGGCAGCGTCGTCGTCGTCGTCAATTCATAAATCGATCTCGCTCGTCTCTCTTATCTCGTGTGTCGCGAAGGCGCGTAACTCTCCCTCCCTCCCTTCCTCCCTCGCGCTCTCTCTCTCTCTCTCTCTCCCTCTCTCTCTTTCTCTCTCTCTCTTCTTCTAGACAACCGGCGCGGTGGCAGGACTCCCGGCAGTTTGATAATACAAGAAAACGGCACGACAGGAAGTTCGCCGCGGCGCGTTATCTCAGCACGAATCACTGCAAGAATGATATACCGGTCGCTTCGGGCTGGCCCGTCGCGCCGCCGATCGATCGATTCTCTCGCACTCGCGCTCGATTCGCACACGTAGCGCGGCGCACGCGGAGGAGGTTAGGTCGCGCGGCTTGCGATGAGCACGAAACGACGAAGAGACGCTGCGCGATTTCGGCAGCACGCGCCGTCGACTCCGAGCCGCAGCAGTGTGCGTCTCTCCCGCGTGGCTTTCCCGGCTGCCTCTCTCTCCTCTCCTCCCTCTCTCACTCTCTTTCCCTCTGTCGCGCGACTCCGCGCGACCGTCGTCTTTTCCGGCGGTTTGCCCGTCGCTGGCGATATCGACCGGCCGCCGGGTCCTTCGGCGGCGAATTCGCGCGAACTTGACCTCCCGCGGCGGAGATGAAGCGCGGCGACGAGAAACGTCCGCGAGGAACAGCGACGTATGTAAATCTCGCAGGCCACGTTCTCTCACTCGAGCATTACTGTTACGCGGCGCGGCACTCGAAAAACACCATAGCCTCTAACCCTTTTGCGGAACGAGCATGTCGCGTGTCTCCGTCCTCTTCCTCCTCCACCTCCTTCACCTCCTCCAGCCGATGACGAGGCGTTCGCGCGGCGAGGAGGCCGACACCGCGCGACAAGAGAAACGGGAACTCGGCTCTCTCGGAGCCGACCATTCACTCTCAGCCACTCACTCACGGAGACGGATATATAAACTTCCTACCTTTCGGAAGCTATGGTGACGCGCTATTATAGGCCATGACGCCGCCGGCACACATCCTCCTTGCAGCACCGGCGAGCGCCGACTGTCCGTACTGTCGTCGTCCCGCGCGCTTTCGCGGCCAGCATCTAAGTCGAGAGCGTACCAGCGACGGGCGACCAGCTGACCGTCGTGAAGCCCGTGCCGAGCTGGCCGTGGCCCGTGGCAGCGACAGCGGCAGCAGCGACGGCGGCGACGGCAGCGGCGGTGCTCCCCCGTGCTGCTTCTCCTTCGAGTCGGCAGCTATCACCGGCGAGAGTACGTGTCCGTGCCGCGACGATGCGATTATGTTGACACACCCGAAACGCGGTCAGCACGCTGCATCCGGTGAGGGAAGGCAGCAGCGGCCGAGCCGGAGCACGCGCGAAATGCCACCCCGCTGGAGAACCGCGCGCGCGCGCGGGCTATCCGGGGAATCGAGCAGGAAAAAGGGACCAAACCGGAAAGGAGAGGCGCCGACGAGTCGACGAGCCGACCTCCGTCGTCACTCTGTATCGCTGCCGTCGTGCGCAACAGCAGCACGCGATGTCCGCCGCGTTCGCCCGACGGCGCCACCAAGCTGGCCGCTCGACCGCGAGACGGTTCTTACCGGCGACGCGAGGCGGTCGCGCGCGCGTCTTTGCGCCGTCGATAATGTCGCGCGCGGCTCGGCTCGGTCGTTGCTGATTGGTGTTCACGTTCACCGTCGATATTTTACAATTGTATTTGATTTTCTAAGAAACGACGTTATTTCCCGATACTCGATGCTGTCCGAACGTTTTCGAGAACGACAGGTAGATGTTTAACGGCAAAACTGCAAGGTGTCGAATAAGTGAAAACAAAACGAAGAACGAACTTAACCTGTAACCCGGTTTGAACAATAATGGCAAACGGTTGGGAAGATTAAGAGACGAGAGGAAAGTATGATAAAGAGATGCTGATATTTGTTTCAACCGACATCCAAAGTTCAACGATGTTTCTGAAATTTCTTTTTTTTCTCGGGACATGATAGAGCGGATTACCGGTTTATCGCTCTCAGATAAGAGGTTAATTCGCCTCGATTAATCAGCTACACCTCACGTGCTTTCTCTCCTACTCGCTCTCGAGTGTCGAATATATGTCTGTTTCAGTGAAAGTGACAGGCAGTGCTGCTGACACGTTTACAAATACGATATGTCGCTGGATCATGTTCCTTGCGGCCACAATATAGTTCTAATACTTCACCGTTATTACATCAGTCGCGGTGCTGCACTGCTTATGGATGATCGCATGTGCCATATGTTTATATGTGAGTATTGAACTTCATATGATCGTGTACATGCATTTTTTTCTTATTCTGTGTGTACATATAGCCGTTTTATTAATATGGAAACATTAAATGAATAATGTACATTTTTATAAGGAATATTATATATTTTTATTTTATTATGTCATTGAATATTGAAGCTATTGCGTAACATTATTGTATTTCTTCAGTTTTTACTTCCACAAAAATATATGAAATGCTTTTTGCAGCTTTTTCAAATATAATATAATACATTATATTTAAAAGTTTAAAAAGTCAATAATATACTGACAAAATGTGTGGAATCTGGGCACTGTTTGGCTTGGACACAGAACCACTGACTTGCATTTATGGGAATTTCGACAAGATATCCCATCGTGGTCCAGAAGCTTTCAAGATAGAATTTGATATCAGAGTCAAGGTATATATATATATATTTAGATTGGAAATATTTGTATTATATATATATATATATTAATTTTTATTTTGCAGAATGGGTATCTGGGATTTCATAGACTGACAATTGTTGATGGTTTGTATGGAATGCAACCAATGAGAATCTGCAAATATCCACATTTGTTTCTTCTGTGCAATGGAGAGATATATAACTGGGAAAAAGTAACATATTTACTATTTAATGTTTAATATACATGTATCATATATTAAAAAAAATATCACATTTGATATTGCAGATAGGAAAACAATATGGCTTTGAATACACTACCAAGTGCGATGTAGAAGTCATCATGCATTTATATGCTCATGGAGGTGCTGACTATGTTGCTCGATCCTTAGATGGTGTATTTGCATTTTGCTTAATGGATATTGAGAAAAGAAAAATTCTGATTGGCAGAGATCCATATGGTGTAAGGCCATTATTTAGATTACGTTCAGATGATGGTCAATTGGTCATTTGTTCAGAAAGCAAGGTATTGAGGACTTTCATCAGTCTCTTACAGTTATAAATATAAAATTTTAGCAAACTTTTATTTGCTACTGTGACAAATTTTAGGGTCTGATGGCTATATCAAAACGTATAAAAGGCAAATCAATTCTAGAACCATTTCCTCCAGGTCATTATGAAGAATACTCGATTTTAAATGATGGTCGTACAAAGTTTCTGAAAAGCGTCAATTATCATAAACCTAGCGACAAACCTTCTTTTCAAGCATATATTCCTTGGAGTGGTAAGCGCATGAAATTACAATAGTTATAAGCCGAAGGTACATCGATATAACAATTTATATTTTACAGCTTTGAGCCCAAAAGACATCCACGGCAATATCCAAAAGTTACTTTCGGCAGCTGTGGAGAAACGACTAATGAGCGATAGACGAATTGGGTGTCTACTGTCGGGTGGACTAGATTCCAGTTTGGTTGCAGCTTTATTAACGAAGCTAGCAAAAGAACATAATCTACCGTACAAAATACAAAGCTTTGCAATAGGTATGGGAGACGGTCCGGATATCATTGCTGCCAGACAGGTTAGTCGTACATTTATATTTATACACGTATTTGCTTTATCTCTCTTTATCAATAATGATGCAGCTGGGGCTGTAAACTTGAATTTCTTATGCGACAGGTTGCGGAATACATCGGAACCGAACATCACGAAATTATTTTTACACAGCAGGATGTAATGGATGTTTTAGACAAAGTTATTTACTCCCTAGAAACATATGATATCACCACTATTCGAGCCTCGATTGGGTAATACAAATATTCATTTAATGAACATCTAATTAATAATTTTCAAATTATTCAATATTACAAATTTAAGAGAGTAAAGTAACTTATTTTAATTAAGAAAAGATCCCGATTTCATTTTATTTTTTATTTGGTTTGATTTTATTTTATTGTCAATTTATTATTATTTATTATACTGTCAATAGTACACAGTACTACATTCTTTACTCTTCAGAATGTACATCCTCTCGAGATATATAAAACAAAATACCGAGACAACTGTGATCTTCAGTGGGGAAGGTGCGGATGAAGTAGCGCAAGGCTACATTTACTTCAGAGACGCGCCTAACGCAGCAGACGCACACAATGAATCTCTTAGATTACTAAAAGATATTTATCTGTATGATGGTTTGAGAGCAGACAGAACGACCAGTGCCTTCAGTTTAGAGCTTAGAGTTCCGTTCTTGGATCTTCAGTTCACCAACTATTATTTATCATTGGACGCTGGTAGTAGACAGCCTCAAGGTGAAGAAATAGCAATTAATAGCAATGTGTTACAAACACGATAGATGTCACAGATTAGATTTTACTGCTCGCATAATGAAAAACATTAATGTGATACAAACAAGAATCATTTTTATGTGTGTACAGACGGAGTCGAAAAACACTTGTTAAGATCTGCATTTGATGGAACTGATTTACTACCTGCCAATATACTCTGGAGACACAAAGAAGCTTTCAGCGATGGCGTTGCTTCTATTAAAAAGTCTCTGTTTCAAATAATTCAGGAGATTATAGAGGATCGTGTTCAGGATAAAGATTTGGAAGAAGCCTGTGTTAAATATCCTCACTGCACACCAAAGACAAAAGAAGCGCTCTATTATAGGTAATATGAATGCTTTATTCAACAAAAGTAATTGAAGTGGCCGATACGTATAATTTCCGTTTTAATTGTCTAGAGATGTCTTTGAGTCACATTATGGAGGACAGGCGGAAAGTTTCACGCCTTACTTCTGGATGCCACGTTGGGTGAAGGGTGTCACTGATCCATCCGCAAGATTTATTGCTCATTATGCCGCAGACTCCGATAAGAAAATCGAAGTGAAAGTGGCTTAGTAAATACATCACTGCAAGATTTACTTCATATTAGATCTACTTCATTAAGATATAAATAAAACTGCCTTACATGTACGTTGGATGTTGAGGAATATTCGCTTCATGTTTGTGCATCCTTGTAATATAAGATAAATGATTGATTTCCCAAGGTATTTATAATTTCTTTTTATCAAAACTATCAGTGATTAAGCTATTTTTGTTTCGCGCTTATGACGATAACGACAATATCTTCTACCGGATCTGCCGTTAGGATGTAAAACATTGAAAGACGATGTTAAGAGTTTCATTTAGTGTAAAATTAATTAAGAAAGAAAGCAATTAGAATTGCAAAAAGTAATTAATGTACCCCTGGTGGGACTCGAACCCACAATCCCCGGTTTAGGAGACCGATGCCTTATCCATTAGGCCACAGGGGCTGTTAGTGAAGATCGCTCATATGCTGAATTATATGCTACTTACACTACAGTTGTTTGATATTAGATAATTTTATGACTTTTAAGTATGCCAAGCTGGATTATAGAATCAGTTTCTCTTAGTGATATTTTCTTCAATTCCAAATGGAATGGATAAGTACCTAAATATGAGAGCGAATATAAAATAAAAATAAAGTGTAGAGAGTGCAGCTAAACACGAACACATTTTATGTTCCTCGCTTTAGAGAAAGATGGCAGCCTACTTGCACTGGGTTGTCAATTAAAAAAATCACTACTTCCTGCAGGATGCATTTCAAGGAAAGTGTTTGAACATTTGGATAATCGTGCATGTAATTGATTTATAATTTACAGTAAGTACTTGCTAGAAACATACATTTATTTTTACATATTGCATTAAGTGCAAATATAAAAATTGCTTAACATCTTCATAGGAATAACTAATGAAAATGACTGATTTTTTCTCCCTTCATTTTCCTCCTCCTAACAGATGATATCAACAAGATACGTGTCATTTTTATCCGGAATAATAATAGCCTCTTTAACATGGGCATTCAGTCTATATCTTTATTCGAGATTGTCACAAAATACCATCACTGCCAGTCCCACAATGTTAGTACCTGGCGTATCTAGTCAAGCGCTCAAGGAATCATTATTCAAGCATAGGGACAAGAGTGAGAAGAATATCATGTTACGTGATAATGTTGTCGTCGCCCGCAGTGAGAAGCAAACAATGATTGGTAAGAAAATCTACAATTTAAAGGGCAATAAAGATTACCAGAACAACGACTTGCTCCCGCAGCAACTGCAACCTGTTCCAGTAAAACCTGCGGTTACATTGGACCAAGGTGTTACAGTGTTGATGTCTTGTCCTAAACTCATTAAACAATCAAAATAAAGTATATAACTGATCAAATATTTCAACAGGTTTGGATGAATTGGGAATGGTAAAGAATCTAGATGATCAGCGAAAGAGAGATGAGGGATACAAAAATTATTCATTTAATGTTCTGATATCAGACAATCTTGGTGTGCTAAGAACTCTACCAGACACGAGACACAAATTGTGCCGAGCACGAAAATATCCCACCAATTTGCCAAATGCCAGTATAATCATATGTTTTTACAACGAGCACTACATGACATTACTGCGATCGTTGCATTCCATAATTGACAAGACGCCAACGTCACTACTACATGAAATTATCTTAGTGAATGATTACAGCGATAGCAATATATTGCACGAGAAGATAAAAGTATACATTACAAACAACTTTGACGCTAAAGTGCAATTTTTCAAGACTGACAAGAGAGAAGGTTTAATCAGAGCACGAGTGTTTGGTGCGAGGAAAGCAACTGGCGATGTTTTGATTTTCTTGGACAGTCATATAGAGGTCAATGAAGTATGGATAGAGCCACTTCTCTCAAGAATCGCTCACTCGAAAACTATCGTAGCTATGCCGGTAATCGATATTATAAACGCGGACACGTTTCAATATACAGGCAGCCCACTGGTGAGAGGTGGCTTTAACTGGGGTCTTCATTTTAAATGGGACAATTTGCCAATTGGGACACTGAAACAAGAAGATGATTTTGTAAAGCCTATCAAGTGAGATGATATTTCTATAAATTTTGATATATCAATACATAAGTATATAAAAATCATAAATATATTCGGGCATGCGAGTAGATTTTCGTGATTGTTATAATTACTTTTTACAAACAGGTCGCCGACAATGGCCGGAGGGTTGTTCGCTATCGATAGAGAATACTTTACAAAGATTGGAGAATATGATACCGGTATGGATGTTTGGGGTGGGGAGAATCTTGAGATATCGTTCCGAGTAAGAGTCAACTATTTTCGTTCTCCTTTCGAGACATGTCTCATCAGGATACAGTGTGTTTCTTTCTTTTTTTTTCTTTTTTTTTCAGATATGGATGTGCGGCGGTAATATCGAGCTCATTCCTTGTTCACGGGTGGGCCATGTCTTCAGGAGACGACGACCGTACGGCTCGGACGACCCACAGGATACCATGTTGAAGAATTCCTTGCGCGTCGCCCATGTGTGGTTGGACGAGTATAAGGATTATTTTCTGAGAAACGTTAGGAAAATCGATTTCGGCGATATCTCGGAACGGCAGGCGTTGCGGCAGAGGTTGAAATGCAAGACTTTCGGTTGGTACTTAAAGGTGGTTTATCCTGAACTGACATTGCCGGATGATACGGAAAGACGACTGAAGGATAAGTGGTCGAAACTTGACCAAAGGCCGGTGCAGCCGTGGCACTCAAGGAAGAGAAATTATACCGATCAGTACCAAATTAGACTTTCAAATTCTGCACTTTGCATACAGAGTGAAAAGGACATCAAGACTAAAGGCTCCAGACTTATTCTGATGCCGTGCTTAAGAATTAAATCACAGGTGGATATTTTTGCCAATTATTATGATAAAAGTGATGATTTTTATCAAAGGAAGAACATTTTTATATACTGATCCTCTTGTGAATAATAAACTATATTCCACAGATGTGGTATGAGACTGATAAGAATGAACTGGTACTTGGACAAATGCTCTGCCTGGAGGGAGCAGAGAAGACTCCAAAACTTGGAAAGTGTCATGAAATGGGTGGAAGTCAAGACTGGCGTCATAAGCGCATCGTAAGACTTTCCATTGATGTATTTAAATTAGACTCTTCATATTTCAGCTTTTGAATTCGGGTTGAGTATTATTTTCTTTTCACAGGACGAAATGTTGTCTCAAAAAGTTTCTTGACACGAATCAATTATTGTCTATTGGAATAACTATATGAGATGAATAGTTGTACTAATAATTTCAAATTAATCTTTCTTTTTTAACAGAGTGGTACACCTATATACAATATGGCGGCTGGGACTTGTTTAGGGGCAATGCGTGACATAAGAAATGCTCAAATCGTCATGGACCTTTGCACAAAATCGAACGCTTCATTGATAACTTGGGATCTCATCCGATCGAAGGTTCCCTCTAAAGAGATTAGATGACGTCGGAAGAAAGGCCGTAAAAATAGAAAAAAGAATTACGAAGACTGGCTTGGGAGGAAATGGTAGGCTCTATAATAAACTGTATATACTCGACAAATATTTATAATCGGAAGTAGAAAATTTCACACGTCGAGTCTTGAAATAATTTTAATAGAAAATAAGTGAAAGGCTCCCATGACTTTTCAGCAAGGCTTTAAAACAGTTGAAAGTATTGTAATTGTATAAGAAAGAAATGTTGAATCTCTTCAATCTAGTGTATATATGCACTGTAGAGGACCTCCCATTTTGTATTTTTGTCACTTCTCTACGCTATTATAAACTTATACAGATATAAGTTTTATATTTATATATATATATATATCTGATAATTTGAAACAATAATAATCTACGTATATTATATATTGTTGTAAAACGTGATAAAAGAACAAAGTATGCTCAGCAATGTCTAGTAGAATCATTATTTATAAATTGTTTGTATCGATATAATTTGACGTTGAAATTGTTTTTGTAAAATATATTTATTACAAATATTACAATATTGTTTCTTTTGACGTGCAACATATTTGTATCCTTATATTTACATTGTGTATGATGGTTTTGTGAACTTTTAAAATTGCATTCGGTAGTACTCGTCGAGACAAAGAAAATGACACCTTTCTACGCGACTTTCTACGACCACCGAAAGTGCCTGAAAAAATTGTTTACATTTAATACATCATAAACGTAGCTAAAGCAATCGGTATTATCATTGCTCTTCAATTACCTCCGGACCCCTTTAGGTGATACGAAAATTTACCCAGGGCTATCAGTCTTTATATTACTTCGTCGGTAGCTAAGTTAAAAGCGGCCCCAGAGAGGAAGCTGAGAGCGGCCAACACGGCGTTTTCGGCGACACCGATTTTTCGCACTGGAAATGGGCGCCGTCTGCATCCATTTTGAGAGGAGAACTACGTGGCTACATCCACTTTTAGGTCTTGGTGGTAAAATCTGCATGTGGTGGAAGTCCGTGTTACATCCCCTTTCAAGCGGTTTATGTCCGTGCTGCAACCATAATTGCTATCTCTATGCCAGACAATAGGCCTGTTCGTTTTGTCTGCACTGCTGAACTGGTGCAACAAGTTGAAGTGAGAAAATCTACGTTTGTTTCATTTTAACTTAATGCACTAATTCAGCAGTACAGACAAAACGAACAGGCCTTATGCCCGAAAGTCTAAAAAGAGCGGGGGGGGAGCAGGAAAAATAAAAGCACATATTATATTTATATTAATAACCATATAACTCAGTGTTCTAATAAATAATGATAAATTTTACTTGTAAAAATTTATGCTATATACATTTTTTGTAGCTAGGTTTTCTTGAATATTTTGAATAACATTTCTATAGCTAGGTTTTCTTAAATATTTTGAATAACATAACCTTTAAAAAGATATTCTTTTTAAATATTGGACACTATTAACAACCGTGTTAAATTTTTATAACACGATATAATTTTTACTTTTAAAAGTTTATGTACATATATTATAAAAACTTATGTTATGTACATAATATATATCTTAAAAAAGAAAATAATTTGAATTTGAGATTTCTAAAAATATTAAGTTAAGTATACAATAATCATATATATATGTTAGGTTTCTCAATTGGCGTTACTGTTCTAATATATCACTTCTTTTGTACAGTAGAAAAGTGTTGCAGAGTTTTATTATAGTTATAAGTTTTACTTGTAAAAACTTATGTACACATATATACACACAATAAGAAAAATAATTTGAGTTTGATACTTCAAAAAATAACACAATACGTGTTGCGCCTGTACTTGGCGCCTTTTTTTTACCTTTTTGTTTAAAAAGGTAACTTTTATATAATATTAAATATACGTACGTTTCACGTATAACGTGATTGACTTGGAGTACTCCGTGCCCACGCGTGTTATTCATTGCGACGCATTCATACTTCCCCTGATCTGTTACATCGGATTCGATAATCCGCAAGGCACCTGAAACATAAAATTATTCGATATTCTCGAACAGCGTTCCTCTCAGGATTTTCTTGTCCAAAGAAAGCCTGACGCGATCACAGATCTCGTGTATGTCATGTCAATAAAGACAGTTTGAATGCGGCGTAATATGATTCTTGAAACAGACGTAAATAAGTATTGTGAAGTTTGAAGCGAGTCTCTCACGGGCATGCTTTGAAAACACGAGTTGTTTTCATTTTCAGCTAACGGACGACGCAGGTATCAACACTGACTGGCAAGGTCAGCGACTGGTAGGGGGTAACCGTGCCTTCCCGATTGTTTGTTTTCGTACGCTTATATATGACTCCGTGATTGCGGAAAGGACATTGCGCCTCGGGCCGACGAACGACGCGCATACCGCGACGCAGAGTACGAGTGTCGGTTAATACGCGTTTCTTTGTCCGAATCTTACTTGCGCGAGTGTTAGAGCTAGAGTCAGTGTCGTCGCCAGTTCTACGATGGAGTATCCGGGGGTTGCTGCGACGGAGTAACCAGAAGGAGGACGTCGGATCGAGAAGTCAGGATGGAGAGAGGACTCGGAGCGCGCCGAGAGACGTGGACAGCGATACATCATGTATGGTATTCGAGGTACCTCGAGTCATTATTATTACGCAGGGTTTTTCTGATTTTAACGGACCTTACTCGAAATAAGAACATACCCGAGTCGAAATTAGATCAGCATTCATAGTTTATCATCCAAAAAATGATAAAATAGCTTGAGATTTGATTATTCGTTAACCTAATTTCATGTAACATGAGTTCTACTTTTCTTTTCTCATAAAATATGAATGTCTATTCAAGCAAGGTTGCTGAGGCAAGCTAAGGTTTATGAATACAAATTTTTAATTATATTCTCAATAAAAAGTTGCACATAATTTAGAAAACTATGAATAATGATCTTAGAATCTGATATAAATTTTACAAGTGTTGATTTTTATTCGTTTAATAATGCTCAGATTGCTGTTTTCGTTTAGAATCTGCTAGAATGTCCGTTTCTCATTCTTGTTTATCTTTCTTATTGTACCGAATCTGAATTAAAATCTTTATTAGTGAAACAGCATTATTAGACATAACCGTTGTCTTTGCCTTTGCAGCTTCAGCTCTTTTGAGAGCTACAATTCTCATCATTCTCATTAAAAAAAAGAAAAGAAAAAAAGAGAAGAACAAAGGAAAAAAGAACTTTAAGAATGATGAGAATAAAAAGTGTTTTTCATCTCCCCATTTCCTCTAATTCTTATATGATTATTTAATCCTTATATATTTATCTCACGCGCAGTTCTAACAAAGGCAGTTCTATTTACGTTTTTATCTTTGTTCTCATTCTTGCGCTGTTAAGCGAATATATAAACAACATCAACAAAAATTGCTCATTTAAATTAAGAATATAAGGATTAAGTACATATACATTATCGAGATAAACGAGTATTAAATAACTGCGGAATACGTCGCTGTTGAAGACTCATCATGGACGAGACTGCGAGAGTAGCCAGATGTAACGTTCAGGTAGGAAAGCTTGTTCACTATTGCGCACCTAGACATTCTGCATTGATTTTTCAAATTGGTTGCAATTTGCAGGATCAATCTAGAATTAATATTTCGATTCGGGAAAGACTTTTTTTTTATCAAACCTGGAAAATGAAAACGAATTGTTATTGCACTTGGACAATTTTCTCACACTGATTTGTGGTATTGATCGATATTCGATTTTCGGTACTGATTTACTCTTTCATTTCTGTATAAGAAAAAAAATTGATACGACTCGTTCATTTATCCGCGTTAATTTGATGAATAAATTAAATATTGATCGGTCTTCAATGTTCGGTACTGATTTGTTCTCTCATTTCTTTATAAGACAAGAAAAATTGACACGAATCATTCGTTTATTCGAGTTAATTTGTTGAGTAAATTAGAGGGATAAATACCTGAAAAATGAGAACAAATTGTCATTGTACTTGGACAATTTTGTGACACTGATTTACGGTATTGATCGATATTCGATTTTCGGTACTGATTTACTCTTTCATTTCTCTATAAGAAAAAAAAATTCATATGAACCGTTCATTTATCCGCGTTAATTTGATGAATAAATTAAATATTGATCGGTCTTCAATTTTCGGTAATGACTGATTCTCTAATTTCTTTATAAGAGAATAAACATTGATACGAATCGTTCTTTTATCCGACTTAATTTGTTGAGTAAATTAGTGGGGTAAGTACCTGCGAGATGAAAACAACTTGTCATTGCACTTGGACAATTTTCTTGACATTGATTTATAGTATTGATCAGTCTTCGGTTTTCGGTACTAATTTATTCTCTCATTTCTTTATGAGACAAGAAAAATTGATACGAATCATTCGTTTATTCGAGTTAATTTGTTGAGTAAATTAGAGGGATAAATACCTGAAAAATGAGAACAAATTGTCATTGCACTTGGACAATTTTCTGACACTGATTTACGATATTGATGGATATTCGATTTTCGATACTAATTTACTCTTTCACTTCTCTATAAGAAAAAAAAATTAATACGAATCGCTCATTTCCGCGTTAATTTGATGAATAAATTAAATATTGATCGGTTTTGAATTTTCGGTACTGACTGATTCTCTAATTTCTTTATAAGAGAATAAAAATTGATACAAATCGTTCTTTTATCCAACTTAATTTGTTGAGTAAATTAGTGGGGTAAGTACCTGCAAGATGAAAACAACTTGTCATTGCACTTAGACAATTTTCTAACACTGATTTATATTATTGACCAATATCCGGGTTTCGATACTGATTTAGTCTTTGATTTCTCTATAAAAGAAAAAAAGGTTGATACAAATTGTTCATTTATCCGCGTTAATTTGATGAAAAAATTAGATATTGAACGGTCTTCGATTTTCGGTACTGATTTATTTTCTCATTCTTTTAAAAGACAAACAAAATTGATACGAATTGCTCGTTTATCCAAGTTAATTTGTTGAATAAGATTAGTGGGGTAAGTACCTGAAAAATGAGAACAAATTGTCATTGCACTTGGACAATTTTCTCACACTGATTTATGGTATTGATCGATATTCGGTTTTCGGTGCTGATTTATTTTTTCATTCTTTTAAAAGACAAAAAAAAATTGATACGAATTGCTCGTTTATCCAAGTTAATTTGTTGAATAAGATTAGTGGGGTAAGTACCTGAAAAATGAGAACAAATTGTCATTGCACTTGGACAATTTTCTCACACTGATTTATGGTATTGATCGATATTCGATTTTCGGTACTGATTTACTCTTTTATTTTTCTGTAAGAAAAAAAAATTCATACGAATCGTTCATTTATCCGCGTTATTTTGATGAATAAATTAAATATTGATCGGTCTTCAATTTTCGGTACTGACTAATCCTCTAATTTCTTTATAAGAGAATAAACATTGATACGAATCGTTCTTTTATCCGACTTAACTCGTTGAGTAAATTAGTGGGGTAAGTACCTGCAAGATGAAAACAACTTGTCATTGCACTTGGACAATTTTCTATCACTGATTTACGGTATTGATCGATATTCGATTTTCGGTACTGATTTACTTTTTCATTTTTCCATAAGAAGAGAGAAATTGATACGAATCGTTTGTTTATCCGAGTTAATTTAATGAATAAGTTAAATATTGATCGGTCTTCGATTTCAGTACTGATTTACTCTTTCATTTCTCTATAAGAAAAGAAAAATTGATACGAATCGTTCGTTTATCTGAGTTAATTTGTTGAATAAGATTAGAGGGGTATATACCTGAAAAAATAAGAACAAATTGTCATTGCACGTGTGCAATTTTTTGACACTGATTTATGGTATTAATCGATATTCGATTTTCGGTACTGATTTACTCTTTCATTTCTCTATAAGAAAACAGAAAATTAATACGAATCGTCCATTAATCCGCGATAATTTGATGAATAAATTAGGTATTGATTGGCCTTCGATTTTCGCTACTGATTTATTCTCCCACTTCTTTATAAGAGAAGAAAAATTGGTACGAATCGTTCGTTTAACCGAGTTAATTTGTTGTGTAAATTACAGCGGTAACTACCTGCTAAATGAGAACAAATTGTCATCGGACAATTTTCTGACACTGATTTATGGTATTAATCGGTATTCGATTTTCGATACTGATTTACTCTATCATCGCTCTATAAGAAAAGGAAAAATTGATACGAATCGTTCATTTATCCGCGTTATTATTTTTTTTATTTATTATATACAGGGTCATCGAAAAGTATCGGACCCCCCTAATATCTTCAGTTAGAATGCAAAGTTTTATGGTTTCAAGCGGGGAGTAAGATGATGACCTTGACTTTGACCTTGACCATGTCCTTCAAGGTCATTTCAAGGTCAACCTTATTTTTTTAAATGGAACCTCCAACATTTTATTGCATATTTTGATACATATTTTGAAACATTTTCTTTGGATATTATATCAAACGGATTTTGCGTGTCACGTAATATCCTTCGGACTATACGGACATTATTATTTTGATCATTTTGATTTCTTTGGTATTCATTGAATTATCCAGAACGCGCTACTGCCATGTTGAACGACTCAATTGTCGTGTGAAATGTTTCGATTTTCACAAATTCATGTAAAATTTTTCATTTTTCACTGATTCACAGAAGTCTTTCACTTTTTATTAGTTCACGCTAGGGAAAAGATTCATGATCGCTGCCCTGAATAGCTGCAACGCTTTCCGAATCATCTATGTCAGATGTCTGTCATTAATAACTCGATAATTATTGCGAATCTCGCAAAATGGTATGGGACTTTTATGTTTGTCTCAACCCAATCTACCCTCACATTTCAGGTTGGCAGCTAATTACCGGACACTTCGTATGATCTTCATGATATTAATCATACACAATGTCAATTCTTTTTTTTCTTGCACATGTTAACATGTTAATTCATGTTATAAACGCGTAACAATGTGCGAAACCGTGCTTGTCGAGTACGCTATTATGATTGTAGCACGGACATAAACCACCTAAAAATGGATGTAGCACGGACTGCCACCACATACAGGTTTTACCGCCGAAACCTGAAAGTGGATGTAGCATCGTAGTTCCCCTCTCAAAATGGATGCAGATGGCGCCCTTTCCCAGTGCGGAAAGTCGGTGTCGTCGAAAACACCGTGTTGGCCGCTCGTGGTTGGTTCCTCTCTGCTAGTATGCATTGCTTCAAAAGTTCTTCGAAAAAGAATAGATCCAAGATTGAACGGCGGTTCAGAGAAACTTCGGCCATTATTTACTAACAAGCAGTGAGAGCAAATAAAAGTGCTTTTGACGTAACGAAACGAAAAGCAGATATGACAACTTCAAAGGAATTAAATTTAGCTAGGAAGAGCCTTGTAGCGTCGCTTGGTGACAACGCAAAAGTGTGAGTTTTTAATTTAAAAAATAGAATATTTTGACTGCTACATCATAAAGGTTATAAACTAACCTATAAACTTCGTCAATATAATTGTAATGATTTCGTAACTTGTTACATAGCGTGTAAATTTTCCATCTCATTGTATCTCATTGTATCTTCTCAACAGGTATTTTGAGAAAATGAAGCTGTGGTTTCAAATGAAGGTACATGAACTGAATTATATCATATCAAGTGTTCCATATATCACTCACATGCATGAAATCGTTGCTTTAGACCACAAAGGAAGAATTTGATTACGAAGCACGTAATATCATGACAGAGGATCAAGTTCGTCTACATAATGAATTCCTGTTGTGTCTCTTTAATAAAGTTCGTGGATTAGCGGCTGCTGCACCAACTTATAAGATAGATAGAGATAAAAATCTGAAGGAGAGAAGACTGAGATTAAAACGTAAATACAAGACTGACAAATCAAATTTTGAGGTATATAAGCATATCAGAATATGGTAGTAGTGATATAATAGAATTATCTTTAATTATTATTTAATTTAATTTTTTAATATATATTATATCCTTTGAGCTAGCCAGCTGATATGTATGTGGAAGTATTAAGTCAAACTTCATCACCTGTCAGAGATGAGCCAATAGGCGCCAATCGCTCCAGTGCTCAGGAACTTGTATTGCCAGACCGAACTTTTGTATTAGCTCGATTAATGCTTGCTGCTTGGGAAAATAATATGGATGGAGCTGAAGACAATACAGCACATATTGTTATAGCAGCAACACAAATTTTCCTGAAAAACATACTGACTGCAATCTTTACACGAAGAAAAGGATACGCCACCCGGGATGGTTCTTTTATTTATAACATTGGAGAACCAGTGCCTAGTTCATGGAAAAAGAACTCCATGTACTTACATCCACTCCACTGTGGGTAAGTTGCGAATGTTAGTGTTTTTTATATTTTATAATGTAGGTATAGATGAATTTTAACATCTTAAGATAGGCCAACAGAGGTATTGGAACCTCACGGCCACGTTCCAGCGTTAAAACCGACTATTGAAGAAGCGGAACAAGCCACTGCTTTTGCACACGCATGTTCGACGCAAATACCTTCTCCGCCGTTGAAGCCAGTTAGCACGGCTGATTTGCGACATACGTTAAAGGTGAGAATAAGGAGAAACGTAACTCTGCTAGTTTCGTGTTTTAACCCCTTTCGTGGCACGGACGCACCGGCGCGTCCAGATCTCATTTTCGTGTTGTATTGAATTTTAAGTGTAATAACTATTGTTGTAGAATTTTTATCAAGTATTTTTTGGTCGCTGATTACGAATTTCAACTTAGTTTTTTATAATTTGTTAATAAAAAAAACTATAATCAAATTAAAATGTTGGAAAATTGAAAATTTTTTTTTTTATACGGGATGTGTGAAAGTGAGAAAGGGTAAGAGGGAGAAACTGAGGAGAGACCGCGGCGTCCGATGGAGGAATCGGCGTCGTTTGACCGCAGCGCCTGAAGGAATCCGAGTGTTCGGTAGCACCAAAAAACAGAGGATGTATAACGAAGAGAGCGAGCAGCGAACGAGTCAGTTCGCAGCGAGCAGCAAGAGCGTTAAGAGCGATTTTATATAAAAATCGTTAATTTACTGACTTGAGAAATGACCAATTACTTTTATTTATAATATTAAGCATTTCTAAACATTTTAGTCGCCATATTCGATCCGCCATTTTGAATTTCTATATTTTGACCTCAAATTCGGCTTCAGCGATCAAAAAAACTGAAGTATACAAATTATTGAAAAAATCCGCCTCGTCATTTTTGTGGGGCGGTTTCAGTGCATTTTACTCTGCCACGATGAATTTTGCTCTGCCACGGAAGGGGTTAATTCTGGTCTCTTATTCTTTTCAGATTTATAAAAATCTTGTAAGTAACCACACTATATATGCTACCAATATGGAACGACTGTACACGTATGCCACTCATCCATCGTGGGAGGATTTGGAGGTGAAGAAAATGTTATGTCAGCCGTCAACATAAAAATCCACGCGTGCGTCTTACCGGTACAAATAATTTGCGGTAGAAGTTTAAAATTACATGTATTTTGTCAATGGGTTATAGATATCTTTTTTTTTATTCGCTGCTCTATCTGATCTCGTTTTATAGTACGGAATAATATATTAAGTACAGAACATGTGTATGTATTTTTTTATTTAATTAATAAAAATCGAAATGTATTTAAAATTTTACTTAACACAAGTTTGCATCAGTGTATATATTATTACAACAAAAGTATATATCTCCCGTGTCATGTGTGAATTTATCATCCTCATTAATTTGCCCGTACAACTTGTATTATAAAGCACATATTACATACTCGATATGACGTAAAAAGAATAAATTTTTCATTTATGAAAAATTTTATACATTATTTACATTCTTATTTGAAACTTTCCAGCCTTGGTAATGTATTTAACACCTTTGAATGGTTTATACTTTTCGCCGTACATATCTAGTCGATTTACCTTTAATCCGGACACAGCTAATTGATTAATCGTAAAATGTACCTGAAATTGAAACATTTATTAGTTTTGAGGGAGAGAAATTGTTTAACATAACACATTGTCGTACATACATTAATCGCAGGATTTGACTCGGAAACAGTTGCTGAATTTTGTATTGTGATCTGAAAAAATTTATTATTATCTCATATAACAGATAATTATTGTATCCATTTCTAGCTACGTTGTAATTATCTTACTGATCCTCTGAGATTTGGCAGCTTGGAAACATCAATTCTCCCGATATCCCACAATAATATTTTGCTGACAGGATCAAATGAGTATTTCCCTTGATTTGGAGTCAGAGTACAATTCAAGACTATCTTTGGCATTGGAATTTCAAGAACTACATTTTCAACCTGTAATGGCAATACTAACGTTAATAATAATGATATAATTACAGTCACTAATAATAATATAGATAATTAATACAGTAATAATGGTAAAACAATAATTCTTTTATATACTGTACTTACAGTCCTGCCGATAGTTTGTTTTGGCCCAACAGTTATATCCAACCTGCCACCTCCCAGTTCTTTTAGACTAATATTATGCCTTACATATATTGGAATTGCTACAATACTTTGTGATCCTATATGATACGACAGAAGGCGGAAATTACCATCCGGTGGGATGAAAGAAAGTATCCTTTCAGACTGAAGTAAAGATAATCTAGATTAAGAATCTACTTTTTATAGAAATCAGATGATATATTTCACATATTTTCACACGAACCTCCCATCTCTTGAATCTGACGCAAGGATGAAAGCTAACATCGTCAAATAACCTGGGGTTCATAAATGAAAGTGTGAGATCTGGCATCCCACTTAATTTTATGCAACAGTCAATCTTAAAGGCAATTATATGCAATTAATATATATGAAATATTGTATCTTTATATATATTATATCTTATGTCATATTAAATATTAAATATTAATTTTATTATATATAAACAGTATATGTGAAGAGTATTTGTACAGTGCAACATACATAGCCTTGAATTTCCGCAAATACAGTTGCTCCAGTTCGGTCGATAATAGCATCTACTTCCTCAACAACATCAAAGTAAGCTTCATTATTGGTGTACTTTACTCCAGTTCGTCTCCAAGGGACATTAGACAATTGGCCACTTGGTAGAATTGCACTAACGCTATACCATTTGTAATTACAAAATATATCAAATAATCCTTTGTACACTTATATATAAATGTCACGATACATTAAGATGTACCTACTTGGATTTGCCTGTCACAGTGTTTGCTATAGTGCGTAAGATGTTAGGTGGCTTAATCAATTCTTTCAATATATTGGACTCCGTCGCTAAAGGAAATCCATTATCCAACATTTCATCCAACAATTCATATACAACCACATAATTTTCCTTTATAATTGTTTCCGTGCACTCATTGAAGTAATCTTCAAAGGTATCCACTACTCTGTGCAAGAATTCAATGACAAATAATGGAGGGACTGAAACAGGAAAGAAATATTTATATTGCCGGTACAAATTATACAATAAACAATACTGTTTAGATCGAGCTTACCTTCTGTCATACATACTGCTACAAAGAACATGTTGCAGCGATATATACTAATAAGGTAATGATGCGGTGTTGCTATCACTGGCGGAGTATCCTCTGGTGACAGAACCCTCCGTTGCTGGTCAAAGAAATAATCGCAAAGCGACCGTGCAACCGCACTTTTCCAATGTTTCTCCATGAAAACATCGCTGCACATATATACGACTTAGGATTAAATTAGGATTAGATTGCACGCAGCAAATGTTAATCCACGTTCCGTCGAACAGTGATCCGTTTTACTTGCCATGCTTTGGTACTTACCCCGAGGAATTTATAATGAAGAGGCTATGTATCATTCTGGTGGACAAGTGTTACGAATATTGGCGAATATATTAAAATATACCGCTAACTAAATTATATACAAGCGATACAAGCTAATATGATGGAGAAAGTCCTTCCGTCAATGTTTGTACATAATTATGCGCACATGTATATAAACTTTCAGCCATGTTACTATTGAGCAATGTTAAACGAGCGCTGTCACAAGCCAGGGCCGGACGAGCATCTCTCGATACAACATACGAATGACACAAGCAAAAAGGAAACAGGACGTGCTCTATTCCGCTGACATACAGAGAATTACAAATCTCTCGGGTTATCATCGGATGGCAAACCGCGCGAATGGAAATTGCCGCTGATAATCGTGCCATCGATAATCGCCGATCAGATCGCCGGTCGACGTTCGGAGGGGAGGGAACCGTCGACCTCTACGCACCTGCGAGACGCGACAGGGGCGGCGCCACCGTCTCGGTCCGCCGTCCGGACCGGCGTTCCACCTGACACAAGGGAACGAGTGGACAGCCAGCGAGTGGCAGCAGTCGCGGTCGCCGTCGTCGCGCGTCGGATTGTTTGTCAATATCCTCGCCGCCTATCCCGCTCGACCGCGTAGCTCCGGGTGCGCGTCCCTCACCAGCGCGGTCGTCGACGGTCTCGGCATGACGGCCAGCAGCTACGGCGGTGCAACGCTGTGACACACGCATACGGGCACACGTACACACATACGCGCGCGCGCACACACGCACGAGAGCTCGGTGATCCCTGAGGGCGGCGTTCCGCGAGATTTTTCCTGCCTGCCGTCGTTGACGATGGAATGCGCGAACGAGCATTTACGGGCCTGCTAGGGACGACGTGACTCCGTGTGCGCGCGACACACACACACACACCCACCCAGTGGTGGCACGTAAAAGGCGCTCTGTGTATCTATCTTCAATTGCACTTTCTGCACTTTCCTCTGTTGCTTCGAGCCGCTCGAACACGCGGTACGCAAACGTCTGTTTCATTGCGAATGTAGAAGGTGCAGCCGAGGGACGAACGGGCCTGCACACGTATGCATGCGCGTATGCGTGTATGCGCTGCGATGCTGTTGGCTGGCGTGCGTGCAACGAGGTCCATCTGTTTCATCGTTGAGAGGATGCGCGTGTTGTGATAGTATCGTCGACTGGAGGCGAGATTTCGGCGTGAATTGAAAATTGCCATGGACTGCTAGTGAGAGGGAGAAGGAGAAAACGTTTGGCCCGATCGAGGCGTCTGTCGGAGAAAAGTACACAGAAAGTGCACAGAAAGCTCCCGCAGCGACCGTAGAACTTCAGTGAGTGGCACGTGTGAGTGATGTGAGTTGTCAGACTCGAGGTAGATTGCTAACGGTCAATTCTGTGTTGATAAATAATCGTACCGTGTCGCTCAATCATTCGAGTCAAAGCAGCGTGCTGAGGTTGACGAGTAACGGTAATTCTTGGCTTGACGATAGCTGGTTTGACATTTCATACTTAGGTGTATGTTTGGAGAACATTTTGGATGAATAGATCTTGATAAATAGTAGAATGTTTCTTGGGAGATATTCTATTCATACGTATGTAATTTGTAAATATTACCTTCTGATTGCATCTTGATCGATTCAGAGTTATTTTGTCAATAAACGGTTGTGTGTTCAAATTAAGAATAACAGTAACATTCCGGAGCTTCTTTCTACAGCAATTGTACAAATCTCATTTTTTCCTTGTTGACTTCCATTAGCTAAAGCGATGATAAACTACTGTTAAATCTCATTTTTCTTTTTATATTCCCGTATTTAACTGTGTATTTTCTAGGAAAAAAGTCAACTTTATATATACTACAAATTATACTTATGAGCTTGTAATAAATATTAACACAGGACAATATTTTTTCTTGTTACAGATTCACTGGAGAAAAATGTATAAAGACAAAATGATACAATATGCAGACATAGGTGGCCAATACAGAGCAGTTGAATATAACAGACTGTTGTGTATCTCGCTTAGTTGATGCACGGAATGCTGTCTTAGACTACAGTCTAGCATTTTAACTGCATATCCTTAGTCTCGCTCTGTCGGAGCGCATTGTCCGCATTGTCCGAAAATATTCAGTGTTCACAAAATCACCTTTAATGAGGCCGAGGGTGCGGCCGGGGAGGCAGACTTTGTTTTGAGGAGGTACAGCGTTCTACAATTGACTTTAATGAACAATGAACCATTCGGGAAGCGGTAAACGCCAGGCGAAGGTTTTGGAAGATAATTTTTGGGACTGCAGTGTCTGCACTTATAGGAATACAGCGGAAGCATTTAAGTGCCTCATGTGTGACGTCCGCAAGGGAACTTCTACGCGGAAACCCCGCATAAACCCCCAATTGGTAGCTCAACAGGTCAGTTTAATCATCAAGTAATATCACCTTGTAATTACCTTTACGACTCATGTGGATAGATGAACAGAAAAGTTTGTGCTTTTGTGGCACAAACGCCACGTTTTGTTCCTCCGTAACACATCGGCGTTTTCTCCCTTTCTTCTCCCTCTTTTTTCCTCCCTTTGTTCTCTCTCATTCATCCTCTTGCAATCTGTCATCTCGTTGCTCTTTATTCGCCACTAAAACTCGAACAAATTCGTTCCGAGCTTACATAATCAACATTGTACATCGCGCGTTTAGGTTGCGCAGCAACAATATGTGCCACTTTTGAAACCAGGCAAGAAGGAAGGTAGCAGCGGCGGCAGCACAACCAGCGGCGGCAAAGAGAAGGAGCGCAAACTGGACAAACCAAGGCGCAAGAATAGACACCCGCCGCGTCTCAAAAATATCGACCGCAGTACTGCGCAATCGAACGAAGTGACTGTAAACAATGTTACCGTTGTTATCACGGAGTACAAGCCCAAGGTGAAGAAGGGATCGGACCAGTCGGGCGTGTCCAGCAGCGCTAGCTCCGAGAACGGGAGCCAACACGACTCCAATCAAGATTCGAGAAGTCTGGACATCGGCACTGACGCCTAGCTTAATGCTATATATATGTTACATACGTGTACGAATTATTCTAATTAATATATTGTATAATGTATGTCTCTCAAACCTTTATGGTACCGCTGTACACATCCTATAGGCAAGAGAAGAAAAAAGGAGCCAAGAGCTACCGTTTTGTCTAATATGCGTTGCAAATTGCACATACACGCGTGTGTATATGTGTGTGTGTATGCACACACACAAACACACAGTCGATAAACGAGGTCAGACATTTTATGCTATCATCGGGGTTATTATTGATCGTTCATAATTTAACGGAAGGAAAAGGAAAACACGCGCATATATATATATATATACATATATATATATATATATATAATATCGTATTTGTATTATATGTCATCGTTTTAACTTGTTGCGCAAATCGTTAGCGAATCAACTTGCAGCGTGTTTTTGCGCGACGCGACGCGACGACAAAAAAATTGTACTTAAAGTTGCGCTTAATTGACGGACATTTCCACTCGTGATATTTATTTAGAAGATGTATTAGTTCGAATTTATTTAAAGAAAAAGAAAAACGTCTTCGACGATACGACGTGGCGGGATATATACTACGTGTTCCCGTCCGATTCGTCTCATCCTCACAATTGATTTGCCTCTTTCCATCTACATTCGGCTCGAATTAGTCAATCTTTTTCCCATCCATTTACGTTGGAGTTAAATGCAGACGGATTTAATTGTATATATTGGTATTATTATCCGTCGAGAGAGAGAGAGAGAGAGAGAGAGAGAGAGAGAGAGAAAAAGAGAGCGGAACTTCACGAGCCACTGTTGACGTAAAACACCCTCGATTTTTATTAAAACTGACGAGACCACTGCCAGAAAACATGTCATGAGGCGACGTTATTGTTCAGCATTAGTTGACAAGGCTAACGACATACGACATGTATGAATTGTATCGATGATTTCGCTTAATTTCAATAATTACCAGCGTGACTGGCATTAGTACGTACATACGTATGTACACCTTTTACCCTCATTCCATTATCTCTCACTGTAAGGTGATTATAATTTTTCTCCGAGCATTATTGAACCGCTATCTCGTAGCAGGGAACATTATTTCGCGAATCTCTTCCAAATATTGCTCATCACTTCCGTATGATTGAATCCGTTGACTGATCACGAACAAACGTGTCCAAAAACGTTCGATTACGCTCACGACGTTTCTGAAGATTGTACAGTCGAATATCGATTTTCGAATATGTAATATATACGCATACTTCTTCGTATGATACCCGAAAACGATGTTTCATCAAATCTCACCATCAACGGATGAAGCGAGCATTACGTTTGTTGTAGAGTGAAAATGTATAAATCTTATGTAGAAAGATCGGAAGGTCCTCGAACATTATTATCTTCTTCATTTTTCTAATTGTTCGAGAAAGATAAACAAAGAGAGAGAGAGAAAGAGAGAGAGAGAGAGAGAGAGAAATGAAGACAAGGAGAGAGTTCTTGTTATCGAATTAAATTGATAGTCGAGTTGTTTTAAATTGCAGTTGCAAGGACCATAAATATAGCTCCAAGAGAGATCCATTATAGCGACTGCATGAAATAGGAACGGAGAAGTCATAAGATTGTTAATATCACACCCGATGATTACGCGTCATCGAGATCATTGTAATACGATTCCGCATTAACGAAATGAAAGTAAATAGTACTTTTGTCGATATCAAATCGAGCAGATAATCGATAGGTGAATTGTGTGTATACTCGTGGAATAATATCACCGAGAGAAACGCATTGTAAAAAGGACTCTCCCCCATCCACCCCTATTCCCTTCGCCTCCGCCGGTCGACCGCTCACCCTCAGAATTACTCTCGTCACTTTGAAATTCAATCAAGCGGAGACTTAAACAGAGACTGTGCCATCACGTAAGAGAATTCGTAGCTTTTACAAACGGATTTCTAGATCAGTAGAAAAATAGAGAACCGAGCGACACTTTTACAGAAGGAGAGAGCAAAATGAACCCCTTTTACACGAACGATATTTTTACAATTTTGTGAAATCGTACAAGTTGTACGCTTGCCGTCTCATGTGACCAGCGCTGTCTCCACATCACGCTAAATTTAGAGGCCGCGCTCGGGCGGTCAACACGAGAATTCTGAGTGGCCGGCGTATTTTCAAATTTGTACATTGAATTGTCCGAACGTGCTGCGAGAGGAACATTCCCGCGTGTATTTGATCGTTCGAGAGGGAGAGAGAGAGAGAGAGAGAGAGAGACTTAAATCAGATTGTTATCACTCTCAGAAACTTGTACTGTATATTTATGTCGCAAAGTTGTACGCAAAGTATGTCTGATCGCGGCTTGTCTGACCAAATGCCATGTCGCGCACGCGAATGTCTGTAAACCCTGGAAAACATTTCACGCGAACGATTGAGTACCGAGTACCGTAACAATGCACACTGTACGTTATTTGTATCACGGAAGCATTACAAGCCGTACAAGACGTAAGGCTCTGGAGGGATAATCTTGGGGTTAACATTATATTGTTACAGCGAAAACAAACAATAAATCACACGTTTTCAGAGACAAATACAAGCGCGTCCTTTAATAATAGTCCTCTCAATACATGCATCATTTTACGTCGACGGATCTCCACGTCAAGGCGGTTTAGCTAGCTTACGTAGGAAAAATATATACAAGTAAATAAACAAATATATACAAAAAGCAACGGAGATCCATGGTCTCCATGAAATTCACGAAACTCGCTTGTACTTTTTCTTCTTTTGCACGATCCCTCGTTATTGTTTGGCAATTTACATATGCTGGAGGAATTTTATCCGGTAGTGGAAAGTTTTCTTTTATACTTTATAGCTGCTTGAATCGTTTCTTTCGTCTCAAATATTTTTCCCAGAGACGTGAGATATTAAATTATTATATTTATACGATTATACAATATACAAGCTAATAATTAAAGTATATATGAGAGAAATACATGTATTTGCATGATCTGATAAAAATGAACAATTTACCTGAACGTAACAAGAGAAATGTGAAAAAGACTATAAAGAATCATGGTTAATTCGTGATATTTCTGAAAAATTATATATAAAATATTTTTATTGACACGGAATAAAACATCAGCGAATCTGTAAATTATAAATGAGGTATTTTGTCTTCGCTACTAATCTTGATCGTTACAACTCTTTACAAAGCCATACTTGATTCCTTTTTTTCCTCTTTTGCTTTTGAGACACCTGTGTGGAAAGAGGGAAAAAATTATATAAGCGTGAAAGGTGAATGCAATTACAGTACGTAAGTTGAGATTGTTGCTAATCTACTTACAATATCACAATCATTCGACGAGACTTCTTTGACTGACTTGACGAGTTTCCGCTTTTTACCAACTTTTTCGCTCTTACTATCCACAACTTGCATTTTATTAAATAATTCATCGTATTCCGCTTCGCTGGCCGCATCATCCGAGGATTGGTCACCGGCGCTACCGCCATTATCAGAACGGGATTTCGTTGTGACTTCTGGATTCTTTTCACTATCCGTTTCTATGGAGAAATCCGACCTCATTGCCAGGCATGTGAGCTTCGACGTTAAATAAATCTGCAATATAAAAGCAGTAATAACTGCAGATGCTTACATATTACCCTTGTACGTCGCAGACAGGAAATTACATTTTTCAGAAGTTGTTTCGTGTCGATATGATGTATCCGTAAATATCTATCCAGACTGACGCTTGCGATGTACGGATTGCTCATGCTACAAGCCACACCAGTTACTCCACCAGCAAATCCTTTGTATGTGTTTAATATTTTGCCTGGCTTCCTGAGATCGACGAGATTCAGTTTGCCTTTACCAGAACCTGCTATAATGTGTCTGCGAAACAAGTTTGATTAATCGACAAAGTAATGTGTATAGAAAAGTTATTTAAGATGTACAAGTTGCTTGATCTTACTTTTCCTTCGAGGTAACACACATACAGGTGAAAGATTCATCCTGATAAGTTATATTTACTACAGGACGCCTTTGCGCACGTGGATCATACAGACGTATCTTTGTAAAATTATTAAATATTTTTTATTATAAGTATGTACTTTAATAACTGCAAACATACAGTAGCATCCGTACAGTAGCAAAATTCTTTTTAATTAATAAATTATTGTAATTCTTACATGTCCATATCTGCCTACTGTGGCAATTTGTTGGGCTCCTGATAGAAAATTCATGTCAGATATCCAGACAGGTACTTTCAGTTCTAACCAATCGTGTCGAACATTCTTTTCATTGAATATCATTACTTGCTTCTCCAAATCGTACAACTTGAGTATGTGTTCTCGTCCTCCAGTGGCTATTACATTTCTCTGTACATGTGAATGACACATTCTATTCAAATTTTCTCCAGCATTTATCAGCAATTCCCCTTCTTTGTCAGTCTGTCGCCATAGACTCACTTCTCCAGAGTTTACTGCAGTCAGGATCGACCTACCAGAATTACAAACTATATTATTAAATAATATACAGTATACAGTATATAGTAATACATGTATTTTTGCTTTTGAGTAATTTTTAAATAAGTCTTAAATAAGTATTTGTGCTTTTACCCATTATATCGTGATATTCCATTAATACTGCCTTTGCCTGTGTTACAAAGAAATGAGTGTATGAATGCAGAATTCTCAGAATCATAGATCTTCACTCTGTAACAAATCAATTAATCAGATCATGTCCAAAATATTCTAAATAAAAGAATAAAAAGTGTGTTAAATAGTTCTACTTTCTGTATGTAATTTATCTCATAGAGAAATATGAAGATGTGAGAAGTTCCTTTCACTATTAAAATGTTTGATTTTGCATCACCTTCTGTCTTCCTTCTCGCCACATGCAATTAAAACATCTTTCTCGTCATCATCACCCCAAGAGATAGTAGTCACCTGATCATTCCCTGTGATGGAAGCTAAATCTTGTATATTTTTAATTATGTTTGCCTTCTTTTCAATTTTTATTCCTGTAACAAAAATATATCATAGTTTTTAATTTTCTACTTTAGCTTACATATAACCTATATAACAATAACCTATATAGCAACGATTAAAGAACGAATATCTGTAATTACCTTTGAAGACACCTAATTTCCCACCCACGAAAACATTAAAATTGTCCTTGTAACTCATTATGTGTTTTACGCAAAACAACACGTATATACGTAAAATTTATGTGAGTCACACACGTGCGTCAAGGGTTTTAAAACTGAAAAATATACGCATGCGTGTTACACGAGCAGCTGGCAAGTGTCGGTGCGTCATATAGCCGATGAGGATAACCTAGAAGTTAGTAATTGCTCAATCTTAGCATGGCATATAACAAAATATGCAGTCAGTATATCATTTTTCATTTGTGACAAATTGTAGCGGTATTGATATATATACCACTACGTTTAGATAAATTCTATTTTTCAGTTCTCTTCTATTCTATTCTATTTTGCACTTTATTTCGAGTAGCACAATCTGATGACTAGTCAGACGGTCATCATTTTCAAATAGTATGATGAAACAATTATTTTTGGCAGCAATATTGATGTTTTTTTCATTATAATCTATTCGGCCGTACCGAAGATACCATTAAACCTTGGTTATTTTATTAGAATTGAGATTATATACATATATATATACGTATATATATATATATACACACATATATATGTATATACATATGTATAGTTTTCCTTTTTTCTTGAAGTAGTTATCATATACATACATATTTACACATGCACATATACATATATACACGCGCACAACGCACTCACACACACTCATACCTCACCCACTTCTGTGCAACTATACACTATTCAAACTCCATCACTCAATAGTTTGCCGGTAATGGCTGAATCGGGTTTTTTTTATTATTTCGATGCGACGAGAAAGTAACTTTAGTAAAAACCCTGTAAGTCTTGATCATACATACAGGTCAATAAATCATGCAGACAATTAATTCAACAAGAGCAATCGAGAAATTAATTTAGGCTGAGGACGACTATAATGTACCGCTAATATCGAAAATAATGCTCGACTTTTCTGCTACATATTTCATTGTGTGCACTATTGTAATTAGTTTCAGTTGTTTACTACGGATAGCGAAGAACGCGACCAATAACCACTACGATACAACTTTGCAATAATTCAGAGTATTGCTGTGATGAGGAATCTTCAACGCATCGTGTGTTGTATCTTGAAAGTGCACTTGCCAAGTGGTTCAACCAGTAAATGACCAAATCTCTCTCCTCCGGAGGCTATCTTTCAATAACCTGAAAAAGTCGCGACTTGCGTGGATACATTCAATGGGAAAAATATAAGTACTCAGTGTAGTTCATTGATGCCGCACTGTTATGAAACATTGGAACTGGAGATGAATTTTGAGAAACTGCTGGGACAACCACTGTTGAGACGTTAGATCTCATTGTAATATCATAAAATGACGAAAAAGTTGTGATAAAGTCATCCGACATGTAGTATATGGCACTACTAATATTATTAGAATATTGCGATGCATATATCTATGAAGAGATGTTTGGTATCGATAGGTTGTATATGATGATGCGACTGAACTTCAAGACAATCTTGTTTGTACTGATTGTCGCGACATTGAGCTCTTTACTTACATCATGGAATAATTGTGGCGGCGGTTTGTTGTTTCATGCCACAGACTGGAGGACAAAGTATCAACATAAGGTGAGACTAACGAGATTTATTCTGTATTATTTATTATTGACACAAGTTACTGTTTACTGGACAAAGTATATTATTTATCATTGACACAACATAACGGCAGTAGCACATATTTCTGACTATATACGTATCTTGATACAGGATCGTTTGAGCACAGAATCAGGATATCAGGAGATAGATTGCCACATCAATGGCGATTATTCAATAGGATGTCGCAAGGAGGGTGACGAAGTATACATACCATTCTCATTTATCCACAAATATTTCGAGGTCAGTGCCTGTGATTGGCTTAAATCTAAAATTATATCATTATCAAGCACGTCTTGCAACAACTTGATATAATGTTACAGATTTACGGGAAGTTGGCCACTTATGATGGCCTGGAGAGATTTGAGTGGTTGCACAGTTATTCGAAAATCGTGAGCCCCAAGGGGAAGTATGATCCCCGGGGTGTATTTATGACCTTCGAGAATTACAACGTCGAGGTCAGAGACAGAGTTAAGTGTATCAGCGGCGCCGACGGTGTGCCGATCTCGACTCAATGGGAGAGTCAAGGATATTATTATCCCACGCAAATTGCTCAATTTGGATTATCGCACTATAGTAAAAACCTGACGGAGCCGGAACCGCATAGGAAGATAATCGAAGATTCCGACAAGGTCAAGCAGAACTGGAACGTTTCTCAGGGCTCGCTGCTGGACAGGATATACGACTCGCAGATTAATAGTCACGTCTTGAAATTCGCCACGCCGCAGACCAGTATGTCCGGCATCTCCTTGAACTTGGATCACGTTCTGGACTTTGTCTTGAAGTGGGACTTTAATGTGAAGAACAATGGTAGCATCGTGGTCACCCTGCAGTCAAGGGAGAAGAAGGAGATGTATTATCTTTACTACTACGCTACCAGCAACACAGTACTGTATAATCACGATAATCACGTGTATTACGGGATCGGGCAAATTAATCATCAGTGGAGGCGCCTCACTAGAGACCTCGTGGTCGACCTGCAAAAAGGCCTTTATCTAAACGATAAGAATAGAAAGAAGATACCCCGCTCCAAGCTGAAGGTAACACGTTCCGCGTCTCTCTATCACTTTACCCTAGCTTCTTCCACGGAAGAAAAAATACTTTAAATGATCCCCGAATAAGCCGGAGATTTCACGCGTCTGCAGATAATCCAGATTACTCTGTACGGTTCCGGTACGATTGACAATATGACATTGTCGACCAGCGAGCACATGGAGCAGTTCTACGACGCGGCGAGGTGGTTCGTCGCTAATCAGAATGTCACCTCGGGCGGTTGGCCGAATCCCGTGAGGAGGAAAGTGGCGCCTGGGATGGCTATTCTCGAGCCCGGATGGTACGAAACATTGTAGCACATGTATCTCTTACACGCATAACGACACAACAACAACGTCGACTGTGGGCCGAACTGCGAGAATATCGTTTCCGTTTGCAGGTACTCCAGCATGGGTCAAGGTCACGCGATATCGGTGCTGGCGCGCGCGTATTATCACTCCGGAGAGGCGAAATACCTGCAGGCGGCCATCAGAGGCTTGCGGCCCTTCAGACTGCCCTCCACCAAGGGAGGGGTGGCCGCGCCGTTCTTAGGCAAGTACATTTGGTACGAGGAGTACCCCACGACGCCCTCCTCTTTCATCCTCAACGGCTTCATTTATTCGCTCATCGGTCTCTACGACCTGAAGAGCATAGCGATGGGCAAGGACGCCGAGGAAGCGTCCAGGCTCTTCAATCAGGGTATGACGTCGTTGAAGAATATGTTAACGTTGTTCGACACCGGCTCAGGTACGACGTACGACTTGCGTCACTTCACGCTGAAGACGGCGCCTAATTTGGCCAGATGGGATTACCATTCCACTCACATCAATCAACTGCTTCTTCTCCACTCGATCGACAACGATCCTATTTTCATCACAACCGCGGAGAGGTGGATAGGTTACATGAACGGCAAGAGAGCCGCGCACAATTAATCGTGTAGTTAGACAACAATTCCCATCCCTCTCCCCCTCCCCCCTTTTTCGTGTTCTTTTTTATTCTGTCCTTTATTTATTAATTCGACCGTTTCTGTTGCCTCGTGTCTTACCGACAGCTTGTCATTGCCTGCGTAGAGGCGTAAGTAGCTTAATAACATTCTTTCAGCAGACTGAAGACTTCTTTTTTTATATAATTTTTATTTTATACATCGACGAGAAATAAAACCTTAGTCACGTGATTGAGTCTGAAAGGAACGAGAGAATGCGTGAATGTGCGAACGGTATGAGATACAATAAAAGAAAAAGAAAAAACAAAGGAACTAGAAGAGACTAATAAAGTAATGTACTCTGTTAATATATTGTTATAGCTAGAGAAAGGACAAAATAATAACACACACACACACACAACGCTTGTGTCCTTATAACATGTTTGTAAGAAAAAGAAAAAGATTTGTAAAGAAATATACCCGGTTATAAGCGAACATATCGAAGCGGACGACGCGGTAACTATTTCCGAAATTAACAAACTTTTCATATAACGGTGCTGCCAATACTTATAATGACGAGTATAGCGTGATTATATTCGATTCCACAGCGGTCAAGTGTGTCGCGTAACATGCAATATGTAAGAGAGAGAGAGAGAGAGAAAAGATCGCAACTATTTATTTTTTAATAATAACATTAGTGAGTGTTTTTCCTAAATTTGTCAACTAGTTTTATAACGAACGATCCGCACTTTATTCACCGGACATGATTTTTGAATTGTCCAATAAAAACCATTGTTTAGTTGTAACGCAGCCCGGGTCTCTTTCCCTCCTCTCGGCGATTAGTGCAGCGTCACACGCGGATGCGTCGAGCGTGTGGGACGAGGCGAGGACAGGCGGAAGTAGTTTAATGCGCAAATCTCGTCGTATGTCTATTATTAACATTACATGATCGAGAACACAAACGAGATCGGCGACTAGTCGCAGCCCACAAGAGCACGACATATTTTGCGTGAGAGATCGGTGATACTTCGGGAACGCGAGGATCAGAAGACCGATGTAGCGTTGCGAAGGAAAATCACTCAGTTTTTATTTAATTTAATTTCGGCGAAAAGTTTTTCCCTCCCACCGGAAGGTACTTCAAAATTAGTGAAAAGTTTTTCTCGAGACAAGAAACCATGTTTTTCGGTCGCTTCCGGTAGGAGGAAAAAATCGAGGGAGGTGTTACTCGTCTTACTCGTCTCGACGAGTACTAATGCGAGTGCGATTCTAAACTTCGCAAAAAATGCCTGGTTTAGATTTTGCTAAATTTATGACCCTCTACAAAATACAGCAAGATCTCTAAAGTGCTTATTGAGAACTCCCGCGATTTTGCCCTCCTACCTCTATCGTAATTATGAGACGATTTTTCCCGTATTAAACGGGAAGTGCTTTTGCTTATTTCGCGTGTCTCCACGAGAGATCTCTGCAGACACTCCTGTAGACCCTGACGATGCGTAAATTAAGATTCCTGGTTGCTCGCCGCGAACGTATCAGGCAGTGACGAGACAGAGGCGAGAAACGACACGCTGAACATTCTCGCGTGCCATTTCTAAAGAAAAAGATATTTGTGTGAAAGAATGTCTCAAATTGCTGGTGCGTACTTGTCAAATGCTCCTCCCTTGATAGCCAATCGACAAACATAAAATGACTGTAAAACGACGGCTAGTCACGCGCGCAGCACAATCGACCACCAGTGCGACCATCTTGATATTAGTCGTTTTAGGCTGTTGATTGACTTTGAGTGGAGAAGTATAGAAGTGTTCAGAGCACTCGACAAATATGCTGTAGCGACCTTGAGTATTCTTTCATACAAATACCTCCCTGTACTTGGGAATTTCAAGCATGCGCTTTTTCTCGTTGCTGACGTTACCCAGTCAGAATCACAATGTTGATTTGACGTTGAAATCGGTCGATGAACCGTTGAATCGACATTAATTCAACCCTCATCGACGTCGAATCAACGCTGTGGTTCTGAGGTGGGTACCAATCAAGCTTCCTACAACTCTTGACGGCATTTTAAGCAAGCTTTAAGCAAGTCGTTCTCGCTACATTGTCGTTGCGCAGGTGTGACATATGGCAGCAGAAGCGCGCGACAGTACACCGTGCTGATGACGTCGCCGTTGATGAGAAGTCACAGAACAGGCACAGGGGGAGCCTCCGATGATGAATTGACGCAATTAGACGCCTTCGCCGGGAGGAGCGTTTGGAGAGAGCGCAGCTTGCTTTTCGATGACTAGTAGCGGTAACGGTAGGCACGGCCGTAATTGTACACGGACGTGCTCTCGATGGAGTTGCAGGAGTATAGGGCGTCGCCCCTCGTGCCGTCCGGGCACGTGCAGACCGCGATGTGGCGGCGGGGCGTGCACGTGGCGTTCGGGCTGCACTCGCGGCCGGTGCACGGGTTCCTGCAGGTGAAGTCGATGCACGCGCGGTTGTCGGGGCACTCGCTGTCGGTGAAGCACTCACCGCGCTGGCAGCTCGTCAGGGCGTTGCCGATGTAGCCGGTGGGACACGTGCACACCGGCCGCTCCTTGCCGGTGTTGTCGTGGCCCGGCGTGCAGATCGCGTTCGAGCCGCAGGGATTGGGCTCGCAGAGGTCACCTGAAAGCGGGAAACAGTGGTCAGATAGCGAAAGAACTGTCTGTGGGAGGACGCTGTGCACGGCGCTCGTAGAAGACGAGCAGTTTCGTCGAGCAGTTTGTCGGCAGATGTACGTTAGATCTGCACGGAGAGAGTGTTACACAACATTTCTTCCAATTATTACTGAGTAGAGTTCTCTTCACCAACCGAGTAGGTAGGATCTGTCGTTCAGTAACGACACTCAAATGGAATATATCAAAGTCCTCTTTTCTACGGTCAATCTCCTGTGTATGACGTCAACATGTCTGCCGGCAAACTGCGCTAGCACTTTCGCTCCCCGAAGCAGCCTCCTCTCGCCTCGCTTCCTCCGCTCCGAAGGAGGCTGCTGTAGGTGATGTCTGAGGGGCAACAATGAATGATCTGAGACGCTTACGCGGCTCGAACAGTCTGCAGCTGACGAAGGGATTGCCGGTCATGTGCCTCGGGCAACTGCAAACGGGCGTGATGCCGCGTAGGTTGCAGTCGGCGTTCACTCCGCAAACACCATCACAGGGATTCATGCATTTCTGATAGAGGCAAGCGGGTTTGCCCGCCGAGCAGTCGGAGTGGGCGGTGCACTCGGGCCGGCATGAGATGTACGGGTTTCCCAGCCAGGTCTGAAACAGAACAGGATTCTTCATCCGAGCCGGGCTCTCATGCCGTCATCGCGGCCGTCATTACGTCACAGACCTCCTCCGTAACTCGCCTAACTCCGGCGCCGGGGGAGGACCACCTACGCTCACCTTCGGACAGGTACATTTGGCTTGGTGATTGACGACCTCGCACTCGGCGCTCTCGCCGCACTTGCAGGGGTTCTCGCACTTGTACGACGACGAGCAGGCGAGGTGATGAGGGCACTCGCTGTCGCTCTCGCACTCGTGACGACAGCCGGCCAAGGGCGAGCCTCTGTAGCCCGGCAGACAAGTGCAGACCGGCACCTCGTTCACCACCTCGCACTGGGTGTTCTCCCCGCATGGGCTCGGCTTGCAGGCGGCTTCTGTATCGTGATCGAAAGTGCCTCATGAGAACTCTAACACTTAGCCTCGAATCATACCGCCTGAGACGAGTCGTGTTTACGTGAAGAAATCTCAGCAGATCAGATACGTGCCTGACACTCTCTGAATCTTTTTTTTTTTTTAAGCGAGATCTTACGTGGGACGATTCGCTCGTAAAAGTGCTTTGGTTAAACTCGGACTGGATTCTTCGTTCATAAAAGAATAAATTTTGTAGTCGATTGGAATTTAGTTTAGTAGTAAAGATTGGATTAGTATGTGAGCTTGTTGACGGTAGGGCGCAATTGAAAATTTATTTTTGGAAAACAACGGATTCTCCACTGAGAAAATAAGGCTGTCGGTCTCCCAGCCGCGCGGTGAAGCTGCACAGCAAGGTTGGTCTTGAATCTCGAATGGAAATACCCACTCGACGATTCAGAGTGGTAGGATTCGCTCTGTACGAACGACGAGCCGAGCCTCGACTGCGAGTCGAGGCTCGGCTCGGCGGCTGTCGCTCTACTTTTCGAGTGGTAATTCGCTCGAAAAAATTCCGAGAGTGCTTCAGGTATCTCTACAAAGTAACGAGACGCTCGAGTGGACTGCCCGCTCGTTTCGAGCGGTTCAGAGGCAAATTTTACATACGAGGGTCCGCGACGTGGCAGCCCGTGAACGGATCGCCGACGTGTCCCGGTAGACACACGCAGGTGCCTATGTGGTTCCTGGTGTTGCAGTTCGCGTTCACGCCGCACAGACCCACGCAGGGATCGATGCACCTGTTGTTTGTGCACACCTTACTGTATGGGCAGTCGTCGTTGACTGAAACAGAGCGCGTCGTTCAGACAGACGTCGTGCGGCAGACGCGGACTTTTAGAGGACATCTTAGAAACGTCTAGAAAATGTCCGTCGGACGTTTTTCCAGATTTTTCCTAAAAATTTCCAATTTTATTTAAATTTATTTAGATCTTAGAAGAAATATTTAACATTAAAACTTTATCTAAGTTTATTTAGATAACATTTTTTATTTAGCATTTTCATTTATTAAATAAAAAATATCTAAAGATTCTAGATTTTATCTAAATTTATTTAGATTTAAAAAGAAATATTTAGAAAAAACTTCATCTGAGTTTATTCAGATAAAATTTTTTATTTATTATTTTCATTTATTAAATGAAAAATTTCTTCTAAAGATTCGAGATTTTATCTAAATTATTAGTAAAGTATTTAGATTTTAGAAAAAAATGTTTAGAAAAAATTTTATCCAAGTTTACTTAGATAAAATTTTTTGTTTTCATTTGTTAAATAAAAAGTGTCTAAAGATTCTGGATTTTATTGAAAAGAAGCAAAACGTCTCTCGGACGTCGACACGAAGGCACCCGGAAGAAGCAAGGGTTACTCTTAGGCACTTTTAAAACTTCTAAGAAAAACAAAACGTCTCCAAGAGGTGTTTTCGCCCGAAGGTAGCGAGAAACGCCTCTTGGACGTCCTCAAGACGTCAATTTGAGAGGAACGAGACGTTCCTCTTAGACTTAGTCTTTTGGAAGCGCATAGGAAGCGACTCACTTAAACATTCGACGCGCACACAGCGCGAAAGTGGGTCTCCCATATGTAGGTTCAGGCATGAGCACACCGGTCGTCCTTCGCTCAAGGTACATCTCGCGTTGGTTCCGCATGTATAACTGTCGCAGCTGCCTGTACATGAGGATGCTGGTGGTGATTCGACGGCCACGGTTAATTCCACAGAGCAACGAGCACTTACCAGAGGTGACTACTCGCGAGTGGATGTACTGGCTGCCGTTGACCAACACGGCGAGCAGAGGCAGGAGCAAGACTGCAGCTTGCGGGCGGAGGAGCATCTTGAAGTCGTCTCTCAGTCTACCTGTCGACAGTCCACGACGATGACGTAGAGCGAGAAGCATGAGACTCGAAGAACTTCGAAGAGTTCGTTAGTGCGCACCAAGGTGCGCCGATAAGTGCGATGAGCGAAAGAACCTGCTTGTTTCACTCTAACTCGCTGCACCAGTTTGGTAATTCTTTAACTCGTTATTGGAGTTTATTGGAACCTGTCGTTAACGACAGTTTCGTTATTGTTGCGCAGCTTTTCTACGGTATACAAAAGCTGCGCAACGAAAGTGTCGTTAACTAACAATAACGAGTTGTATAGAATCGCACTACAGTTCGGAAGTTCCTCTAGAGAACGAAGAGACCTGAGATCTTCGAGAGTCGTCGAGAGCCGAGACTCGAAGAGACTTGAAATTTCCAAGAGCGCTGATAATTGCCCCAAGTGGCGGCTCTTACCTTGGCGAACGCGGGCGAGCTCGTCCCCAGTGGTGATGCGGAAAGGACTAAGCGAGCCAGCCGCGGCCACGCAGATGATGAAGACGAGGAGACGAGGTCCGACCCCACCATCCGAGACCTTCGGCCCCCCTTCGAATTTCGCCCACGCGGCGTGATTCCGATTATTTTTCAAGGTGCTCGATAGACACCACGCCCACGCGGATTTGCTAAACGCGTTCGATTCCGCCTCAATTCGCAGCCGCTCTCTTGGCCATCGTCGGACGCGGAATCATCCCGCGCGATCTTTCTAACGCAAGTCAGCTAAATGCCACGGGTGAAAGCGCTTACCGTCGCGATCGGGTCCTCTTTCGACAGGAGCCGCCTAAAGATGTCTCAAAAGACGCCTGAAAGGATGTCTGAAAAAGTGAGACGTCTTCAAGGCTCCTGGCTACTGGATCTCATCACAGCCATCTTGCTTTATGACGTCAGAAGCGAGGAAGTGCATGCTCAACATTCCTGCAAAGTGCGTCGAAACAGAGAAATATACTCAAAAAATGGTACAACCATCCGTTCCGACAATCAACAAATTGTCGTCAAATTAACGGCATGTACAACTTTCCTCTCTTTCATGGCCTCATATTAATCTTACGACAATTTATTCATTGTTGAGGCGAAGGAAAAGTGTCTGGAGTATTTTACGAGTGTGCTCAATTGATCACAAGCGTCACTGTTTGGTCACACTCCATTATTTTAACGAACCTTGAGCGCATCTTTTCGCTCCCGACATCATCAATCAAGATGGCCGCGTGGCGAGCCTCAAGACGTTTTCCGGAGGTCTCTTTTGGAAACTTGTGCTACCCGAGGTAGTACCGTACAGGTCTTGAGAAAACGGCCAAAATACGCTCTTTAGGACGCATCCTTTAAGAAGCATCTAGGGATCACATGCCTCTTGAAGAGGAAGGAAAGGAAGAGGAAGAAGATGCCCAAAGGACGCTCGGGAAAATCTGATAAGACTCAGACTCCTCTTGCAACTCGGCGCAACTCGGCCCGCGTGTTGCACACAGGACGATGCGAGCCGGTCGGTCAAAACAAGTATGACTAATCGCGCCGCTGCAGTTTCCCATGCGGAGTGTCGCGGCGAGCGTATCCTTTCGCGCCAAACATGGATCTCCAGGGATAATCGCTCTCGATCAAACTGCAACGTCGGAGTAGATCCGGCACGGACGGCGGACCTCGCTGTTCCGTTACGGGGACGTCGTCGTGCCGCGTGGCGGCGTCTCTCCTTGCCAGAGTCGGAGAGGAAATCTCGGCAAAAATGCGACTGTAGCAAAAAGAAACGTCGCTGACGTGCGCGGGCGACGCGCGAAGAAAAAAAAAACAAAGAAGTTCATTATGCTAACGAGCCGATCACCGATTGTACAGCCGGCATTATTTATCACCGTTTCTTCGCCGTCGGGACGAAACGCGATGTTGCAATCCACGGGACGAAGCGAGAGCCACTCGCATATTCATAGGATCTTCGCCGAAAAACGCTCAAGTTCCCGGCCGCGAGGAATGCGCGCCGGAGACTTGTCCGCGAATGATCCGAATAATGCGAATTGTCGGACGAGAAAAAGTCGATTTACGACTCGGCCGGAACTCGACCGAGTCCCACGGCCGTCGTTCCAGTAAGAGGAACGCGACTCTGTCGAGATTCTCGCCCGATCGGGTGTGCGCAGAGCGACGTTGTACATCGATTTATGTCATGTATTTATGAAACTTTATAAAAGTGCGTATACATAAACTTAAATAAACAGAAAACATGTATTTAAAATGCGGAGCATATATACACATACGTTTATATTTTATATGTATATATGTGTACGCGCATATATTTGTGTATATATATATATATTAATATATATTTATATATACCACTACTACCACCATACACACATCGACGTATTTCCTCTGTACATGATGCAACTCGATAAACTGGAAATCATTCGTGTCCGGTGCAAAGTTTCGCTGTACGGCTCAACAAGATGTATACGCTATGTCACGCAAGTAATACTGCGGTAATACCTTTTTTTTTTCTTTTTTTCTACGTGCATGTACTTGGTACATCTGATGTTCTAAAATTTTACAATTACAATCATATCCACGGTGTTGTCTCCCGTTAGAAACACGACACTAGTCAGTCAGCGGCAATTTGCGCGTTATCGTGTGCAAGTATGTTTTCAAGCGAATAATTACGTATTTATAGCGAGACTCGATAGTGGTTCTCTCGTTTAGGCGCGTCTCGCTATGCCTACTGGAGAGCTTCACTTGGACTTGTCTTTCAGGAACTCCTCATAGGCAGTTGCAATCTCATCGTCGTAATTGTAGTCTTCGTCATCGTCGAGAGAACTGTAACATTACATCAGTATACATCATGATATTAACGTGTGCTTTCGGACAATTATGAGCGTTGTTGCTGTGAATTATTTTCTTTCCAAAATTTTATCTAATTGTTCTAATTATCTTTCTTAATTTAATTATTTTCTACCAAAAATATCAGTTCAATCGTCGGGTGTGAGTGCAAAAGAGTGCAAAAGTTTCTCAACGGGCTTCCCAAGGATATCTCTCGGCTGCTCGGCAGTTTGTGACTTGTGACAGCACTTGCAAACGTGCAGATGTGTAACATATATGCAAAAATAACAGAAAACAACACGTCGCCAGAATGAAGATAAGTCGTTTTCAACAGAATTCAACTCGCTTCACTTTTCTGTCGAGAACTCCATCGAGACTTTTGCACTCGCCCGATATACTGGCACGCGATAATTTCATAAAATTGAATTGCTTTCCGCCCAACACGCAACTACGTCCGACTTTCTAAATTTCACCCAAAGTGCGGATATTTGAAATATATTTCACGTACTCCTGATCGCCGCCTATGTGTTCGTACAGGAACTTGCTCTCCTCTTCCGTGAGTGTGATTTGTCCGTCGGGGCCGAACACCAACGCCTCGCTCGACTGGGGCACCACCGAGTTCGTCCTCAACGAATTCAACGCGTAACTGGACGCGCCTGGCTCGTTCGACACTTGTTGCGTATGATACGGCAATGTATCGTTGATTCTGGCCGAGTCAGAATGAGCCGCGTCTCTGCCCCAATTGTTATTCCGCAATTCGTGCACGCTGTGCACCATGTTTCCTACTTGCGTGTCCAATTGGCCCCTGGTCACCAGATCCGTGAACGCCCGCATCATATTTTCGAGCTCTGTGCTCTTGCTCTTGTCCTTCTCCAATCTCTGGCCTGACAACTGCGCGACACACCGGAACGTGAAAAGTAACAGCGGTAGGAACGAAGGAAGGGTCATTTAAAAGTGGTTACCGCTATGCTGTGGCTTACTTTGAGCGCTTGGCATATATATTTGACTATGTTCGACGAGGGTCTCTTCAGTATCTTGGTGATAAATTCTATCAAGAGACCTCCTAGGATGAAGGCGAAAGTTTCGTCCATCTGGGCGACCAACTCGGCTAAAAATAATATCAGTCCGTGACATTTCTTTTGGTCGTAGCTATCGTCGGACGCGCGCTGCCACTCGAACTCTTGTATACGAGCCTCTACTAGACACCTGACATCCAAACAAAAATCTCATTGACGCACAGGTTTGTTGATTCCGAACACTTTCGGCGTGTATTCAGACTTACGAGTAATGCAACATATCCCTAAACAACAATTGCTCGTCGGGCTCCGAGGTGTCGTCGAAATATGAGCAAAACCGGGCCCCGTTATACCGAAAATTACTCTCGGCAATGGACTGAAAATACGCAATGCAATGAGACACCACGCGATCGACGGAATTTTGAGTAAGATAATATCGCACAGTGGCGTGTTTCCATAGCTAAAGCTTGAATGGCTGTGCGTCTGTATAGCCAAATGGAAAAGCATACCCAGTCGATGATGTTCGTTATGAATGTTCTCAGGTGACGCATGTTGCCCTCTCTCCTCACATTGTTTACAAACGGTGGAACTAGATTGCTAAACTCGCCGGGACTCGTGGTTATAGTATACATGATCCTTTCGAGCATCATGAGATTGTGATCGTCTGTGTTCGCATCCGCTTCCCGTTCCTGCTCGGAGCATTCTCGGTGCATTATAAGAACATTTTGTGCAGAATGATTTTATAAACTCAAATTAGATAATATCGTTACCTTTGCGTCAGAGTAATCTTGATAATTCTCATAGTTCGTATTGGTGCTGTTGGAATTACTCGTCTGCAATTCTGGTATGTCCAAGCATTGCTGCAGAGATACATCGGGAGTGTTATCTTCTATCAGTGCTGACTCAGGGTTTATACTCGGTGGTGCTGCGCGAGCTGCGTCAATCCTATTTTGTACCGACTTTGGGTACTATTGACAGATTCAATAACAAGTCAATCGATGTGTACAAGTTTATAACTTGGCGGGTTCACTCGTAGCTCAACAAGTCAGCTCGGTTACTCGCAATGACAATATTGATCATTCACACACCAAAGCTACTATTATGTTTACCTTTGGAATAAATACGGCAGCATTTGCGGACAATTTCGACTGTTTTCTTCCTGAAGTTTGTTCAGATCCATATTGTTCGGAGCTCCTCGAAGGAATAGAATCTATGTACAGCGAATAATTATAATCTTAAATCAATAATATTAACAATATTAACAAACAGGTTACATTTGCTGTGTAAATAATATCAAAGCCAACCTAAAGATTGGTTACTAGATGCAATATGTGGTCTCCTAAGACCTGTATTATCTGTTTGTAACCAAGACATACTTCCACGTCCTACACCTGACATCTTTGTCTCTCTGAAGGTATCCTTTTTGTCACCCTCTGAAGGATCCATCCTCTCTTATGAATAATGTCAAATGCTGCAAATATCAAAACCAATCAGATTAAACAAAGAAATAAATGAAGACCAAGAACTAACTAAATATTTTCAATAGAAAAGATCGTGTCAGAATTCATAGAGACATGTGAATTTAATATCCATTGAACCGGATCAGCACACTGACCTTTCTACAATTAGATTAACCTGTTTAAACTCGTTAAATCAGGATGTTCCCAGATTTTATTTCGACTATTACTAATCCTTGATAATTATTCTTTGCTCCATCGTAAATAAGTTACTGCTTACCGTAAAAGAAGATATATCGGTCCAGGCAAGTGTTAGCTCGCGTATGATTGTAGTAATTTCTCCTCTACTCCCTTACACGGTCAAGTTAGCTTCGGTGAAAATAAGTTTTGCAAATTCACCTTGTACTGAAAACACGTAAATTTAAATTCGATTTTCGATCAGAAAGTAACAATCGTGCAGTCGAACATCCGTGCTCTGTTCCACTCAAAAACAAAAACCTAACTTAACCTAATCGCCGACGGAACACCGACACTTGCTACATTTGCAACTTCCCATTATACGTTCAGTTATGCTCATACGAACCCACCCATGCAACCATTTGACATGAAAGATTTTCTTAACTCAAGGTACAGACGAAATATAGATATTATCGGCTAAATATTACAACACAAAATACTCACACGAACGTACAAATCAGCGGCGGTCGTCGGAAGAGGAGATTAACCGTTAATCACATAAGCACATAGACCGCGTATCTACATTTCTATTTTCTGAAATTCAAGAAGAGCTAACCGCGACATCCAATAGGAGGACAGCTTTCTCATAAGGAATACAATTCTCCATAAGACATATGTTCTTCTATTGGATATCGCGCATCCTATGTCGGATACAGTGTCAATCCAGCCTTAGGCTTGATTCACTAGATTCAGTTCGGGACGCGAATCATGTGTTCCTCGGTATAGTATGTGCAGTTTGGCTAAGAAGGAACATACTCATCGTATCTAGATATTCGTACATCGTGAATTGTGAGATGCTCGAGGTATTGTTGATGCATGCGACAATTTTGTTCAAAGTTGCACAAAAGTACTGATGTGGATGGCCAACGTGTTCAAACAATATGGATTCAATTAACTGTCGAAGGGGCCCTAGCAAAAGGTTAAATTTGGTACTTTGGTTTTCCTTTTTCTTTCTGAGATATTATTTATTGTCAGTCGAGGCTTATCTTTGATAGCTATTCACTTTTACTACATCTGTTTTAGTAATTTCGTCGACGAGGACTCTACCTTTGCGATGATCAAACGCATAAAGCTGGAACCAGAAGCAATGTTGTCACAAGAGGATGATATCATGGCGCAGCTGCAACAAGACAGCTCCGACTTGGAGGTTGAACCTAGTTTCTCATTAGAAGGGGCCACAAATGACGACGAGGAATGCATTGTGGCGATATTAATGCAACACATGGAAATCAGGGAACCTTTGTCTACATTACGAAGTCTGTTGGAATCAAAGTTGCAAATTGATTTGTCAGATTATTCGTTCTGGTTACAAGATGCACAGATGGTAAGGAATAAAAATATTATGCCACAGTTTCTCTTTACTCTGACAAGTTTGATGGCATTTTGTATGTTTGTTACGATAGCTGGAGAGTGACAAAACTTTGGCTGCTCAATGTATCGAGGGACAAGGAGTGGTTCAAGTTAGTGTACAAATAAAGATTACAAAAGATAACGAAAGACGTATCAACATAGTGGATGTCCTGAAGCCGGCGGAAAATTATATCGAACTTGAGGAAGCCAGTCGTATGTTCAGATTTAGATTATTTCTGTAGATATAAGCAATTTTTTAAAGTTTGTGAGTAACATGTGTAAGTTCTTGTGTCATAAAACAGCACCGTTGCCTACCAAAAAGAAGAAGCGGCATATTATGAGATGGATGGTAGATCCATATTATAAAAAAGAACAGGTATAGTTCGTGAGAAATGTCTGTGTATCGTTAAGATATTTTGTAAGAAAGACAAACGTTTTATTTTCTTGTGTGCGATACTCGTATAAGATTCATTTAAAGACATACGTGTATATTTTTCACAAGGATCGTTTAAAAATACCAGCTGATCCAAGAGATTGGTCGGAAGCACACGTCAAACACTGGCTGCAATGGGCTGTTAGGCAATTTAACTTGGTACATCTACATCTGACTGACTGGAACATAACCGGAGAGCAACTGTGTGATCTCACCCTGAAAGATTTCCAAGCAAAAGTGCCTCATGACCCAGGAGATGTGTTCTGGACGCATTTAGAACTTCTCAAGAAGTGCAAGTTTGTCGGTACGTTATTGAGAAGTCTTCTGCAGATTGCAGATTGGTAAACAGACGAGGGACGTCCGTTGCAACGAGTCAAAATTGATTTGCCGTAATAGCTATTGTTTTCCGCAGCTGTAATGCAAAAAGATATGCCAAACGATGAGAGCGATATGGAGAAACCGATGAAGGTGCGGAGTCCGAAGGCGGCGAAATCACGATCGGCGGTGGACCAACAGGCGCATGTAGTTGGTATGCCGCTGGATAATGCCGACTCCACCACGTTCGCTTTAGCCACGTCCAATCGATCAGTTAACAATGGCCAGATCCAATTGTGGCAGTTTTTGTTAGAATTACTAACGGACAAAGAGCACAGGGACGCGATTCAGTGGGTCGGGACCGAGGGGGAATTTAAACTTAATCAGCCGGAAGCGGTCGCGCAATTGTGGGGAGCACGCAAAAACAAACCGTCGATGAATTATGAGAAACTGAGTAGAGCGCTCCGGTATTATTACGACGGCGACATGATCTCCAAAGTTCACGGTAAACGGTTCGTTTACAAATTCGTTTGTGATTTGAAGCAGTTGCTAGGCTACTCGGCCGCGGAGCTCAGCAGACTCGTCGAGGAAGAAAGAAGGTATACTTGATAAGGTCGTACTCTTCCGTATATTTATATATACAAATATAAAAAATTGTTATTAATAAAATAGCTCTCTCAATATTTTACTTAACATAGGAACTTGAGCGATTAAGTGACTGTAGCATACATTTCTCAAAAATATTTTATTTCATATAATAGCCGAGAGAAGGAAATAGCAAATTGGATGGAAAATTGTAAATATGACGCAACGCGGAAACTCATACAGCGAAGTAGTTACTTCTGGAGTAACTTTGCACCGATCGAGTGTCGCGTCGCATTCCTCCGTTATCAGCGAGCTTGAATAAACAATTGAACGGACTATTCCAAAAGAGTGACGTATCACACACGCTTAACGCTTGAATGCATGAATTAAACATGACGATATGTATATCGCGATACATCGTGTAGATATACCTTAACATGAATTAGTAAAATTTACCTTGTTGAATACGGTAACACACGCAAATCCAATTGTGCGAGCGTCTCGAGGGAAAACGCAGAAGTGACTACTTCACATCGATTACGGATCATGAGAGACTAGATACGAGCATGCGTGCGTGTAAAGTATAAAAAGACAGCCGATACTTTGTTTCTAAGACGGACAGGTGTTTCCTCACTTTCCTCGTATGTATACATACGGTATAGTATACGTGTAAATATAAGTACATGCGTTTGTACATAAAAGTGTTTCCAATAGGTTTGTCTACGATCGCGGTCTTTCGGGCGACGCGTTGTTGAACTATTTCTCCGGATCGCCGTTGTTACGCGAGGTCGTCAATTTCGCGCAGCGTTGCATTGTACAATGATATAGATGTATAATCGAGAGAGAAAACCGTTAAATTTATACGGGGATACTCGGTCGCAACAATCTCGTATATTTTTGTAGAAGCGTATGTTGAAAACATGCAGAATTCTCGAGATATATACCAGGGGGGGGGGGAGGAGTATCTAAATATTTTGTAAGATAAGCTTTGATATGACGATAACGTTGTAACATAAAGCATTTAAATAAATGACACATATCGTGTGTTGTGTTGCAAAATATTGGCGCGCACCGTCGTCGGTAAACTTACGCTCGAAAAAGCATCGGTTGAAACAACGGCGCGCCGATCGATGTTACATCATAGATGTGTGTGTGTGTGTGTGTGTCGTGTAAAACGTGTGTAAGAGGAGGAAACAATCGACAATTTCTTTCTATGCGTGCGCGTTGTGTCCGCGTACCGGGGACGCAACTTTTGTTCCGTGTAGAATCTTTTCCAAACGACGCAGCGCCAGACTTACAAATTCCTTCGCGTAATCCCTGCGATGTCACTTACACGCTAATTGCGAGCACTCGTGTATCGTTTATTTGTGATTAATCAACACTGAAGCGCAGTGGAAGAAAGAACGCCACGACGCTTTCACCTCGGTAGGCCTCAGAACGCATTCCGTACTCGATAGGAAAATTTATCCTGTAGAAATTAAGAAAAAAAAAAAGAAAATTTATTCTTCTATCGAGTACAAACGAGTGGCGAGGCTCGGTGAAAGAAGAAGAAGGGTTGCAACCCTTCTGACCTGACGCCGGCGATGTGAAATCAGACGCTTCAGCTTGGAAATCATACAACCGAGAAGTGTCTTTCCTTCTACAAGTTGTGATTTTGACGACACTCGCTTTGTCGCAACACCCCTCCCTCTCTCTCTCTCTCTCTCTCTCTTTCACACACACACACACACACATACGCACACAAATGTGAAACTTAGCTCGCCAAAGAGTACCGTGCAACGCAAGCTTTCAAGTTCGTTCTCCATGTTACTACGAAAATACACGCGGAGAAAGTTGCCGTGAACACGTAGTAGCCGTTTGTATCTCTGTTGTTAGGACTGACTTTTGATCGGCAAAAGGCAGCACTCATCGCCAATACCAGAGAATCTAGCCTGTGAGATATCGGTCGCGACGTCACAAGTTAGGGTCTCAGGGAACCGGCGACGCGGCAGGCTTTACAATCAGCCCGCCCGCCATTGCCCTTTTTTCTTTCTTTTTTTTTTTCTACCACGCTCACCGCTCTCATTCTCTCTCCGTCTCGTCCTTTTGCCACCACTCGGCGCTTCTCTCTCTCTCTCTCTTCCTCTCGCTCTCAAACGGATTTCTGGCAAATTTATCGATCTTTTCTTTCTCTTTCGCGCAACTCTTTTTACATCGCGCTCTCTTTTTCTGCCTGATTTCTCGCGGATTGCTGTTCCAAGGTCGAGCAGATTTCAGCAACGAGGTGGAAGAGACAGCGAAAGTAAGTACAGATTCCAAAGTACAAATTACGCATGGAAAATTTCGTTATCTTGACGAGTTAGGTTTTTGTCACATTTTTATCGTGCACCCTGATTCGCGCGAGACTCGATGGAGAGACTCCCAGCGAGGTCGCGCGATCAGAGGATGAGAAACGAAAGAAAAAGAACCACCGAAGGGATCGGACGTATTCTTCGTCTTCGCAATCGCAAGAACGAACACTCCGAACGGAGAAAAGCACGGGAGTCCGGCGCAGAGAATGCTCTCTCCCTTCCTCTCACTCACTCACTCTCTTTCTCTCTCTCTCCCTCTCTCTCTGTACAAATTGTAATGGAGAAACAAACACGATCACACTCGCAGGAGAACGACAGCTGGTCTCTCTCGAGCGAGGAGGACGCATTCGCATTCGCACTTCGACGAGACCACGGGGTGCCTGTTCGCATTCGCACTGACACGAAAAGAAATGCTTGGCACCACCCGGATTTCGGGAACTTCGCTATCACAAGACGCAGGAGGGCCCGACGTCGCGACGATATCAAGGGCCGCTCCCGACTCCGTCGTGTGAGATGATATTCTCGCAAAGTCAGGACCCTTCCGCGTCTCTCAATAGCGAGCGTTCGCGAAAATACGCGTCGCATCAAAGAGATCTTCTCGCATAAGGTCGACGCATGTTCATCAAGTACACACTCGACAGCTCCTTATATCTCTCTCTCCCCCCCTCCCCCTCCGGCATTCCTTCCCTCCGCGGCGACAGGGAGAGCCCGAGGAACGATCCGTCCATCCGTTCGCAGCAACACGTCGTCGCGGCGCCGACGACCGGGAAAGTTAGCAAGTTGTACAGTGGACTTCGTATCTCGCGAATTTCCATTCCCTACTATACAACCTACTACCTCACCCAGGCATCGTCGCGAGCCTCTTGCCTCCACCGCTGCTCTCCATCGGCGTCTCTTCTTCTCTTTCTCATTTCCTCCCGCTCTCTCGCTCTCGCGAATTCTCCGCCGCCCGCGTTAAACCCGGATTTCTAGAGGAACCCGACGAAAGCTGCCTTACGCACTCGCTCGACGATTCATCCGCGTCTCTGGGGGAAGGGAGGGGAGATTGGGGTGACGCGTCGGGGCATCGGCACGCCGCCGTGTTACACCTATTAATTAGCAACTATGCGGACGTTCTGACGTCGCATAGTTAACGGCGCGCTCATTGATCCGTGACTAATATCGTTTTCTCCGCGATATAAATGACGAAGACCGGGCGGTTTCGCGCGCCCACGGGTTTACATATTCGTGGCTGCTCCCTCTCGCGCGCGATCGGGTCCGGACGGGTCGGCGAAAATTCGAGCGGCTGCGAGAAGATTGCTCGGCAAGAAGTCTGTCGCTGGTACAAGCGGAAGTGCCGCCGCGAGCGATTCGGGAGAACGAAGGGATGATGATGATGATGATGATGATGATGATGATTATGATGATGATGATGATGATGATGGTGATGGTGATGATGATGATGGTGATGATGGTGGTGATGATGGTGGTAATGATGGTGATGGTGATGGTGATGATGGTAATGGTGATGGTGATGATGATGATGATGGTGGTGGTGGTGGTGGTGGTGATGATGATGATGATGATGATGATGATGATGATGATGATGATGATGGTGGCGACGGTGATGGTGATGGTGGTGGTGGTGATGGTTGGGAGGGGTGGGGGGCCAGGGGGGAGGGTCCGTCGAAAAGTCTTAACGCCGGCCTGACTACATGTACCGGTAGATAGGAGCTTGCGGTATGCATATAAAAAAGCCCACAAGTTCGGATCTACGGGTTAGTGTCATCAAGTATAGCCGAGAACTATCCGCCGGGCGTCTATTCCACGCTGGAGGACGTTGCAAGGATCCTCGCGTGACTGGGGGGCGACCCACGTAGAGAGAGCCTCGTCGAGATCCGGACACAGACAGCTCGCGCCCGTTCGAGTCGGCAACACCTGCGAAGTCGAAGAGAAATCTTAGAGCGTCTCTCACTCGCACACGTGCGTGGCGATTCATTAATTGCTACTTCGACGCGTCTCTCTCTCTCTCTCTCTCTCTCTCTCTCTCTCTCTCCTCTCTCTCTCTCTCTCTCTCTCTCTCTCTCTCTCTCTCTCTCTCTCTCTCTCTCTCGCCGGCCATTATTTACCGAGGAGAGACTCGCGCGACGTGCGCGCGCGGTTAGCATGCGCGGCTATTATCGATACTGCGCTGCAGCGCCGCTTCCTGCCGATTATCACAGAGCGTATCCTCTTCGTTTTAGCAAGCCGGGGCGATAACGAATAATAATTTCCCGCAACAATGACAACGGCAGCGCCGGCTTGCTCTCCTTTTTTCTTCTTTCTCCCGGTCGAATATCCTCCCGACACGCACGCGTGTTTTTTTTTTCTTTTCTCTCTTGCTTTCTCTCTCTCTCTCTCTCTCTCTCTCTCTCTCTCTCTCGCGCTCATAACGCGTTCCGCGACGGACGGATCGGTGAAGCGGCGCGTACAACGAAGGAGCGATCGAGAAGAGAGATCGCGTTGAGAATTTCTTTCTCAGCACGGCAACGCGGTCCCGGCTGGGCGACGCCGCTGCTGGGCCGTTGCGGAGATCAGAAGGGCGTAGAAGAAAAAGTCGTGGGTCCTACGAGAAACAAGAAGCAGCGGAAGAAGGAGAGTGGAGGAGCGAGAGCGAGGAGGGAGAAAGAGATAGCACGAGAAGCGGGGAGAAGAGGAGTAAGAAGAATATAAGAGCGCGCGTGGAGAGTAGGTAGGCTCGGACGTTGTAAAAATCCCCTGCATCCTCGTTCGTAGACAGTTTAATGGCCTCTGCTGTTCTCCGCTCCGGGCTTAGGGGATGTAAGGCGTCGTTTCCAAGAGGCCGATTATGCGAGAGACTCGTCAACTCGTCGAGAGACGCGCGGATTTTTCCGTCGTTGGCTGGACGCGCGTAGCGCGTGCGGATTTTCCTCCATTTTCTTCCGTTTCTCTTCGCGTTCTCTTCGCGCCGCGAAACGACCGGCGACGATCGTTTTTCGCTGATTCGCACGGCGGAATTCAAAGCGCGATCTCATCTCTCAGAATCAGTCGCGCCGAGTAAGACGACATTCACGCGAGCGAAAGGATTTCGCACCTTAAGAGGGCGCGCGAGTCTGCGGACGCGGCGATTCCGGTCCAGGAGGTGCGTCCTCTTAAAAATAGAACTCCACCTCGAGGACGTCTCCTCGTGGCGGGAATTGCAGACACGCGAGTGTCTGTAGACGCGTACTCCCGGTGCGCGCACGTGCGTGAAATAATCCCGTCGGATACGTCGGCGGACGGTAGCGGGCAGTTGTGGACGACGCTTAAAGCGCGGCGCAGTGGCCGCCCGTGGTAAAACTAGTCGCTCGCGCTCGCGGGAATATGAAAAAGAAATTATTATTTCGCAGAGGCCGCGGCTGCGGAACACGCGCGCGGGAGGTGAGTGAATTTCCGCGTGTGTTCCGAAAGCTCGCGAAATTCTCATCGTCTCTCGTCGCTTCGACGGCGCAACGAACGATCGGCACCGTTCTATCACGCGAGGATCTCTCTCACTCTTCGCGGACGAAGGAAAACGAGAGAGAGAGAGAGAGAGAGAGAGAGAGAGAGAGAGAGAGAGACGAGCACAGCGCAGACAAAGGCAGAGGAAAGAACGAACGAGCGGATAATAGAATCGGATCGAGTTCTGCCCCTCCCCCCTCCCATGCTAAATTCAGAATCGCAGGGACTGGCGGCAACAACTTCCGCTTCGCTTCGCCTGGAAATTCGCAA